ACCTGTTGTAAATTCTTTGAATTGGAAATAAAATGATTGATTGATTGATTGATAAACATTTTAAGGGTGAGTGGGTGGGTGATAACATTGGTGAATGTTATTATCCAAATAATAAGAGTGGATTTTCAGGATGGAAAAGTACAGTAGGTTAATAAGGGTGGGTGGAGGGGCATGAAATTGGCTTTAGACTGGGCAGAAAACTCCAAGGCTGGGTGGTCCCGCCCATCTCCACCCACTATAACTACATCCCTGATCCAGTAAAGTTCGCCCCCCAATTCGAGACTCACCTTTGGTACCTGAAAATTTGGGGTGGTCTCGGTCTCCAGTCTCCAATTAGAGGGATAGCTTTGTGTTAAAAGATTAAAGATTGTTATGTATTTGGTTCTTTGAATAAGTGGCCTCAAATTAGAAGGCTTTTAGAATTAGAAGCATCTCAAATTGAAGGGTACACTCTATATTTTTGCTCAAACTTTTATTAATTATAGCAATTAAAAGACTGATATTCTGTGCGCTCATAAACCATAAACTATTTTCCAATAAAAAAAAAAATCACAACTAAAATCACGATACTCGTAAGAAAAAAACAAATGATAGGTTGGGACGTTACATTGAAAACTAAAAAAACATAAAAAAAAAAAAAACACCTCAAAAATCATATAAAAATCTGAATTGCTCACTTTCTTAAAACATTTTGTTACCTTTGATGATTTTTCATCTTTTGGTTCTATAACAGCTTCTGTTTCCTGTTTGCAATTGACGACAGGTTTGGCCTTGTTTTTAACGGCAGGGGGAGGGTCACAGACTACATTTTTACTCTGCTTTTTCTCTGGTGCCTGTTCCAAATCTCCAAGTACACCTGGAATGATAGATTTAATTGCTAATAGTCCATTCAAATTAAATATTACTATTTTTTTAAATGCCTGTCTAAACATAGAATGAGATGTCATGCAGGTCTGTGCTGTCTGGAAAGAGTAAAGAAAACTTCAATGTATTCTTTTCTTAGGTAATGTCTTGCAGCTCAGTTAAGATGGCTTGGTCATTTTAGAGAGAATGGATGAAAATAGAGTAGCTAAGAGATGCTGGAACTGGACACCGTGTGGGAAAAGACCAAGAGGACGACCGAGGAAACGATGGATAGACACAATTAAAGATACTTTAAATAGGAATAACATGCCCACCTTCCAAGAATTAAGAAATAGCGGTGAGATGTTAGACAGACAAAAATGAAGAGAGAGGCTAGCACCACTGACAGGCAGAAGCCTACCTGGGAGCTGAAGTAAGAAGTAAGTAAGTAAGGTGATGTCTTGATGTATACACAATATACTATATTGTACATATGAGAAGTTTCTTATATAGCTTTAAATTAATGTCATCTATATAGTGAATTATGCTATACAAAAAAGGACAATATGAATATGGTGAATTGTTATGCTACTACCAATGAATTAAACCAAGCATGTAAATATAAATTGGATTTTATACCTCCATGAATCAACTTTTTAGGAAAAGTACAAATACAATATATTATGTTTAGTAAAGTAGTAGGTCAGGTGTTTTTGTTTGTTGTTTTAAGTTCTCTGAATACACTGATTGAAGTTTTGAGTGTCAATAAATATGACCAGCTGTGGCAAAACCTGCTGTTTGTTGCAATTTATAATCTCACACAAACACCCAAAATGTTCGAGAATCAGTATTTATAACATTTTCAGGTTTTCGCATTTGTTAAAGGCTGGAAGATATACTGAAGAATAATTCTGCAAACTATCAGTCACTAGGCCTAGGCCTATCTTCTATCATAAAAATATCTGGCGCTGATATGGTTTCGCGTCTGTTATATAATTTGTACCCAATTGTAATTTTTGTGAGCAATTATTGCGCTGCATTAGAATTTCTGGGAACCTATATTGTTTTGTAACTTGTCTCTTTGTAGTATGTATTTTGAGTGACATTCATACTATTTCCACCAGGCACGCTTAACTTAGCGCACATCTATGGCAACCACGGTATAACTTGCCCTAATTCTGGCAACACAGCAAAGTTGTTGACATGTGCTACAAGCCAGATATGAAAATGCTGCACTGCGAAGACGTTAACCGTCGCCAAGCCATAATCATTGGATAATAAGTGGATTACTGGAAATTCAAATTATCAAGGAATTTATTATTAGTTGTATAGTTGAATAATTGTTAGTGTTAAATAATAAGTAATTAATTTTACGGCCGGATGCGAAACCGTATTAGCGCCAAACAAATATCCTAGTCCTAGGCTACCTAACTAGGCCCTAGCCTATATATTATTATATAATAAACATATTTTATGTGGTTTGCCACTAAATTTTTAAAATTCTAATACATATCAATGTTTGTTATGGGATACTCACTTATCTATTTGAAACTACTTATACACATCTAGATGTGTATAAGAGACAGCCCCCACTCTCCCCCATTTTAAATTTTCTGGATTCGCACTAGCTCATAGTCACGCTAGGCCGGCTTAATCAACTACACCGACCGTGCTTCTCGCTTGGGTTGGGCCTAAACCGCGCTTACTCACTACACCACGACCACACATGGCCTACTTACTAGGCCTAACGAACGATCGAAACACCGTAACACACTTAACTACGTTTAAAATGAGAAGCATACTCAGCCATACTGTCTAAAAGTTCATCTAATTCTGGGTCAATTTCTTTGGTATTTTCTTGTAATTTTTTCTCAGTCTCATCTTTAGATTCATTTGAATTTGTAGCAGTGATATCTACTGGTATTTGGGAATCTAGAACCTGTGGTAGCTGATCTGCCATGTTTTCTGTTTTGATAGCCCGCCCTCAACAGGGACACAGGGGATCGACGACGTATGGATAAGAAATAATGTCTCTTGCTTGGGAGGGTTTAAAAAAGTCAGACTCCCGGAGGAATAAAAATCTGATTTTTCTAAGACAGAAAAAAGTTGTTTGACGAAGAACGCAGGATCGTCAAGATCACGAATTTAGTCGCCGACGACAGGGTCAGAAACCTAGCAGCCAATCCGGTGCCTTTAAGTCCTCCTGTGCCCGATGGTCACGTATCCAACACTATCTCTCAAAAATATCGGCTTTCAAAATTGCACCAAAATCACTATATTTTAAAACTGGTTTTTGAAGAGAAACTTTTTAGTTTGGTCTGCCAACCCCATGGTCTTTGTCTTAAGTAATAACCAGCACTAAATAATGGTCTTTAGAGGGAAATTAAGAATTAATACATTAATTTTAGAATTCATGTACCGGTATAGGGGCCTACAGTTAGTGCATGTTGTTATTTATTATTTTTCTTTAAAAAAATATTATAGAAAAAAATTTCATTGACATCACTATTTATCTTATAGTGATATTTGATTAGAGGGAAAATGTACAGGGACCACCAAAACCATAGTCTTTGGTCTCTAAATAGAGGGAGTTTTAATTGGACCGGACATAATGATAAAAGATGGGTATTCAAAAAGTGGTCTTTGATTAGAGGGGTGACCTCTATTAACAACCGAGAATGATAAAAATACAGTTTTAAAACTATTAATTATTATGTTCCACATCGCGCCTCGCGTTCAACAATGTGAACTAGTAGGGCTACCGTATTTGTTCAGAGGGAAGGAAAGATAAATTACGGTAATATTTGGAGAGGGGTAAACAAAGAAATACATAAAATCCATTAATCAATAATTCGTGATTTATAAACAAATTATTAACAAGATAAACATAAAAAATATGGGACAAATATATTTTTTATTTAAGGGTGTGATTTTACATAAACAAACATTATACAGTCATCACAACAACAACGGAACCCACGTCGGACAACAACGCCCGATGCGTAAAAACTTATTTTCGTCGATTCACAATTGTCTATTAGTTCTGTTCTGCCACAGAGGTATCTTGGTACAATTACCTAACTACTGACCACATAAGTAGTAACGCCCGTTTTTGTTTTTTTTCCTTGAGGACCCAATATAAGCAATTTCCCACATGAACAGCGACTCATACTAATTATTGATAGTTAAGAATTTCATTTTATATGTTTGTTGCTATTTGATTATATATATATTTTTGTTTATATTTTAATGCACCGTTAGGTACTGTCTAACGTGTGCCACTGTTGTTATAAAAGTGTTATCCAATAAATGCAGTATTGTATTGATGCTCTGTTTTAAACATATTACTAATCTATATCGGTATTTTTCGCCACAAAGAGAAAATAAGGCCAATACAATTTTATTTAAACGTATTTTGTCAAAGAAAAAAATATAGTCACAACAAACAATCCTTTAGAGCTGTTTAAAGAGTTTACATCAACCTCTTTCGTGTGCGTGGGCTGTACCCTATACAGTACAGTATGAAAACTTTGCCAAAATCAAAAGAAGTATGTACTTACATAACTGGTGCCGCCCAACGAAAGGTCATAATTGGCTGTAATAAATTAGTAAATGTTGCAATTGGCCAATAAGAGGCTGCTGCAGTGTGTTATTATCACGCTGCCGCTGCATGTGGATGCATAAGCAAAGTGACGTCATTAACCATTAAAAAAAAACTGCCACCATAATGTTTTCTGGGACGTTGAAGGAATATTTCTATGTGGATTTTGATTCATAATAAAGTGTTGGTGGTGGTGTGAAAATGGACGTACATTCGAAACCAAATCGTACAACTTGTTTCATGGGCTAAGGCCTAGGATAGCCTGGTTTTGGGACAAACGGTAGCCTCCTAGGCCTCAACTGCTGGTGGCAATGGAGGTAACAACGGCGGATGCGGCGGACCTTTCCTTCGTAGATCTCTCACGCCGGGGATTGGAGGTTTTCACTGGAGATGGTATTCACGATCGGATCGCCAACAAAGCAGCATTGAAAGGACTAAACATAAGCAGGAATTTGCTCACAACGCTACCATATAATCTTGTCCAGTTTTCTGGATTAGTTGAAATTGATATCAGCAACAATAACGTAGCGATAATTTCTGAAGAAATAGCACAGTTACGAAATCTGAAAACGTTTACAGCTAAAAACAATGTGATTCATCAAGCGTCCTTACCCAAAAATTTCGGCGAGTGTCCAGCTCTAGAAGTCCTGAATTTAAGTGGCAATAGTTTTGTTGATTTCCCACTTCAAGTGACGGAATTAACAAATCTAAAAGCTCTGTACATCGGAAGCAATTTCATTACTGAAATTCCCCGAGAGATTGAGCTTCTGAGAAGGTGATACTTATTATCTGATTTAGCCTAGTTTCTAGAAGCAGCTAGGCCGGGGGGGGGGGAGGAGGGAGTGGAATGTAATGACGTCATTGATATCAGTTTATTGTAGCACTGAATTTATTTCAACCAGTAACATGTGGACCCTGTCAGCAAGTTTCTTGAGCCACCAATGCAATGATACTGTGTGAAATGGTGAAATTAACTAAAAATTAAAAAGAACATGTCTAGGCCTGTAATATCTTAATTAATAATACCACTAAATACGATCACTAAAAAATAATTTTCTCTTTCTGATTTTATTTTTTCTTTAAAGCTGGGGTGGAGGGGCGGATAGAAGCCTGGGATGTAAGGATGGGGTGTAATGGTGCGATTGCACCACTAAATTGTTTTAAGAAAAATCATTGTTGTATTGTATTGTTGATATATTTAATTATTGCTTTTATTTTTAAAAATCTAGTACCGGTAAGACTTTAAAAATATGAGAGTCCAATTTCCGGCACCTTATAAAGTTCATATTCTCAAAATGTTCACACCTGGCGGGGCAGAGGTGGTGTAGATTCTCACGCACCCCTACCGCCAAATACTGCATAGGCCCCAGAAAGAGTATATATTGGTTGGCTTATTCCAAAACAGCAATAAACTTCTAATAGTAATGTGCTATTTAATAAAAAGAACATCTTGCCATTTTCTTTCCTAAGATTTTAAACATAACAGTTTTATTCTCTTTTGTTCGTTTTTAGTGCACTTTATGGACCTTGGAAATCTATAAGAAATACAGCCAAACTCCCAGTCCTGAACATCATTATTCAATTTAATATTTACTATTGTACTGTTATGTTATTGTTTAGCATATGAATGTTATATTAACTATTAAGTGAAACATTTTTCAATTTTTTGAAAGGTTGGAGATATTGTACCTTGGTGGTAACCGACTTCATGAGCTGCCTGGAGAAATCGGAGCACTGAAACAGTTAACAACCCTTGCACTCAGCGATAACAAACTGGAGCGTCTCCCCTCTGAACTGACCAGACTTACAAATTTACAATCGCTCAGTTTGCATAACAATCAATTAACAACACTTCCAACCCAAATTATCACCCTGAATAATTTGTGTGCCTTAAGTCTACGTGGAAACCCATTGGTGGTGCGGTTCGTCCGCGATTTCGCTTGGCAGCCACCAACGCTCCTGGAGCTTGCCGCTCGCTCAGTGAAGAGTCAGCAATTGATGTATTCATATAGTGATCTACCTGTGAACCTTTGCCATTACTTGAATCAGGCCAAGAAGTGCGTTAACCCTGCTTGTAAAGGTATGCCAATTAAGGTCATGTTGATTAAAACTGATTTAAGTAATATAGTAGCATTTTAACTCAAGACGAAAACTAGCTAGTAAATTGTTAGTCTTTAACACGTTGACTGCCAGACCTATTTTAGGTTTTTTCCCTTGTGCTAAAACAAACATACTTTCCTGAAATGTTATCAAGTTTATATCATCAAAATGGTGCGTCTAATAAATTTGCCGGAAAATATTAGTAAACTCGTCGCTAGCAATGGGACAGTAATTTCTGTTGCCTCTGCCAAGTGCAAGTTTTCTCATCTGCTTTTTGCACTTGGTATATGTTTAGAGGGTACCCCCACTTGTGCAATCTTTTGTTTGTACTGCGGGCAACATAAATGCATACATACATTACTGTATTTGTACGTTATCGCGTAGGTGTATCTTCCCCGAACTATTAGCTGTTAAGCCTGGCTCTATAATGTATAACAATGAAGTAATAAACGCTAGAATGTTACTCCGATTTTGACGAGTATAGTCGTCGCTAGCGCCCTCAGCAACCACTGTGGGACGAGTATATTCATTGCTAGCAGCTGAGATTTGTCATTTAAATGCTGTTCTAGTGTACTGTAGACTAATGCAGGTACTTATTCATCAGTAATGCCATTATTTATGTTGTATTTGTATATATATTTTTCAGGTGTTTATTTCAACTCAAAAGTAGAAAACATCAAGTTTGTTGATTTTTGCGGTAAATATCGTCTTCCACTGATGCAATACCTGTGTTCCCCACAATGCCGAACTTCATCACCTTCATCCAGCAGTTCAGAATCGGAATCAGATGACGAGGACAAAAATCGGATCAAGAAAGTTCTTCTCGGCTGAACCAACCAGCACGATTGAGGAATCCTACCTGCAGTTTTAATATCTTGTCATAATTTGTACATTCTACCCAGGCCTGATTCTACCACCGGTATTAAGGGATTCTCAAGCATACAATAAATCCTGGGGTCATTGTTTTTTATTGTGAATCATAAAATAATTTCTTTTTAAACAAATATTCTTTCTTCATTAAGTCTAAAATAATCTTTAAACATCAATTACTGTTAGTCAAAGACTCTTGCATACTTAATCTGGCCACAGATATGCAAGGACTAGGCGTAACATTTCTTGAAAAATCTCAATATATGGTGGCTATTATCTTTTATAGAATCAGGAAACTTATGACAAGGTTCTCAAGTTTAAATTTAAAAGTAATTCCCCAGCGTGTACCAGCACTGCTCTGTGATAATATCTACCTCATTTAAAATAACTATTAGTCTATAAATTTCATTACAAATATGCTAAATAGTGAAAAATAATGTGAAAAGGTACTTACAAGCGAAATGATTTAGAGTTGGACACAAAGCTATCAAAAAGAAAATTTTCTATATAGTCTGTCAGTTCCTCATAATTTTTTTCTAAGTTACTTTCATTGCCGTTGACCTTAGCAAATGTTTTTTTTTTTCTTTTTTATATCCGGCATAATGACCTTTACCCCAAGGACAACCAGAAAATACGAGTTTTCAAGAGTGCAAAATGGGTTGTTCCATAGATCGCATTTGTTCCAACCTTGCAACATGTAATCTCAGTCTCCCAAATTTTCAGAAAACAACCCAAAAATACAAAGTACTAATTTAGAGGCTTTTTGATACCAAATATATCTGCGTCACTATTTTTCCTTTGTACTCCGACTTTATCAACGAAGTAGGCGTACAAATACTTTCAGATTGTCGCCGACATTTCAAAAGATTAGAATGCATGTCTGAAAAAACTTGGATTTTAACATTGGAACGGCTGCAAATGTGGGTTGTCTTAATAAGGATAACCAGTCAAACAATAGGAATTGCTCATGAATGGTTTACGTGGTTACATCTTGCAAAACACTAGCAAGTCCGTCACTCCCGTGGTAGTGGGAACCTGTGGTTTGTGCCAAGTACTGTAGAGGGAATGTCATGAAACTTTAATTTTATGATTTACGGTCAAAAAAGTTAAACCGACCATAAATTTTCAACGTGTCAACACACGATAATGATTATATTCATTCAACGGTAGATAATTTTGAATGCATAAATTATGTTTTATTACATTTTTTTTTACTATCAAATATCGATTCACATTTTTAAAATTTTTTGATTTAATGTCATTTGTTCTTAAAAAAGTACTTCTGCTGAGTAGACAATACACATATAATAATACACATATAATAATAATAATAATAGGTCAAACATTAGTACAGTATATCTAAAAGCTATTTTTGCATGGAATTAATCTTGACCAAGAGACAAAGGAAAACGTTTTCTTGGTCATCTAAATACTGTAACATGGCTAAATAACAGTAGAATTTTGCGCATGTAGGTTTTAATATCCGCAGACACATTCTGTGAAAAACAATGGCGTATCTAAGGGGTGCACATGCCCCTTGAGAAACTTATGTCCCCACTGCCCATTGAGAATTTTCCCCCTCGGTCATCACATCCCCCAATTTCAAGTCTGGTAATCCTTCTTTTTAGCCCACATTCACTCAGTTAAGCCTACTGTGTGGCTTAGTTAATTTGATCAATAATAATGTTGAGCTTTGTCCACTCAATTAAATTTTATGTGACAAATTTGTGTCGCATCAAATTTGACAGTGTGGACAGAGCATTAAAGAGGTTGCCCGGGAATTATTTTCGATTTATACAAATTAATACTTTCCCATTTAAAAAAAAAAAAAAAAATTATATGATTGACTTTATAAATTTAGCTTATATTTAGAGCATTAACTCATTTTAAGTGTGCATAAAAATGCACAATGCACCCCAGCTATTTTGAGTATTAATATTGAATTAGAATATTAATTTTTAACTGTTGATAATCAATTTCCAGTATGTTGAAGGTGCTAGTAGTGTGTGCCAAAGATAGGGAGAAGAAGACGTTCACATTATGATTAGGTATCAGTCTAACCTTGCTTACCGATTCATAAAGAGATGAATTTTTACATATTTTCATAATTACATTGACATTGTATCAGTAACAATAAAATACAGTTTGGTACTTTTTCAGAGTTTATTTAGATGTTATTGTAGCTGTTGCTGTTTTGCCAACAGCTTTATTCAATGAACTGTTCTAAAAAGATATATTTTATTATTATATTATCTGCATTACAGCCAGACTCTGGAGGAAAAATACTATATTTATGTTGTACAAACCTTTAGTATCTTATTAGCTGTTGCCAATTATTTATCAAGCACACCTTTATTATCTTAGAAATTCTTTTGTACAACATGGCATACATTTTTTCCTCCAGAATCAGGTTTTAAAGCAATGAACCATGTGCAAGAAATATATGTTGTATATAGATAGCAAATCCAATTATGTTGAGCATGCTTTAATGGTTCGATATTACAACTGACTATGCTGTAATCTTGCTGGATATTAACCAGTACAAAGCCAAATTCTGCATGGCAATTTGAAATTGATAATTTAGAAATTAAATTTTTACCAAGTTATTGTTCATTAATCTTGAGAAATCGGGGGATAAACCAAGTAACCTAGGTAATGGATTGCATTGTAATAAAATAAAGCCAATAGCATGAGCCAAATATTATACAGTAGTTCTGTCTTCATTATTTTAGCTTCTATATATTACTGTATATCCTAATTAATGCAGGGGTTTGGGGGTGCGCGAAAAATGAGAATGCAAATCTGAATCCCAGAATGCCGAACTAAATCCCTATTTTATACTTGGTCATAATAATAATTTGGTGTTCATCCCCTCCTACACCCATGTAATGTAATTGAAATCATCGGTATGTGCGGCCTGCCAAGTAACATTTGCTAGAAAACACCTTGTTTTTGAAGGCCCGACACCGATCATATGTAAAAAGTAACATTAAATCTAAGAATAAAGTGGTGTAAAAGCAGTGCTTGGAGGTTTTTGGAAGGTCACTGGAAACATCAAAGTTTAGCCCTAGTCTAAGCTGAATAAAAAAAAAAAAAAAAATACAAAAATACACAACCATAAAAAGTCTGTACCACTAGGTAGGGAATTAAATATGTTAATAACTGTAACAAGACGCCAAGTTTATTATTTTTTCTTTAACCATATTTATAGAGGATTAACCTTCCAGCATATCCTAGAAGGTCGGCCAATATTCAGGGGCCCTCTTTTAAAGAAATGAAATAAGGTGATGCTTTAATCAGCGAGGTTTCTTTATAAGCCTTAAGGAGAAGAGTTAGGAGAAAGGTAGGAGAATAACCATAACTTGCAGCGTCATTGTGCTGAATTGCATATGGGCGTGGATCGTGACTACCTAGCAGCCGTAAGGAGGTGCTTTATGGTAGCTAGCTATTTCTCAAATTTACAACTGTAATCAGAAACAATCATCACAGAGAGTGAAGGATTAAACCAAAAGAAATTTTGTTCTTACCGTTTGTGTTTCTTTCTCTTTTTCTTTCTTTTTCCTTCTTCCTCACTTCCTTCATCTGTTGAAATTTTAAAATTTGTCTCTTCAGGATATAGCTCTAGAAATCCATTGTGAGTCCATCTACAGATCAACACAAATATTGATACTCCAGTCAATAAAAATTAACATCAAACAATAATAAATTCAATAGAAAAAAAAATACAATGAAAATTAACAGAATAATATAGTGAAAGAAAACATAACATTTTTAATTATTCATACACTCATTCAATATTTAATTTCAGAAAAGATTTCCATACAAAAAAATTAAAAATATGTAGAATACATAAAAATAAATAGAATAAATCCATGATAACAGATGGTTTTCCTAATTTCCTCTTATACAGCCTCAAAGTTGTGATTGTAAATATGATGTCGTTTATGATATGCTACATTCCCTTACTAGGAGTTAATTTTATTTTCTTGCTTCGCCTCAGTCTGGTCTATTGTATTTTCACCCATTTGAATTTTACTAGTGCAGCCATCAAAGGCTAATAACCACATATTAATATACCGTTCACAATGTAAATCAGTACACAACACAAGAGCGACATTACATATAAATTGTAAGTATGAACAATATATTAACATTCTCAACCAACAATAGTTCTTTTCAGAACCATGAATGTGGTGTATCGTAAGCATTAATATATTATTACTTTGCCATGCAAACCTTCAAACAATATTTTGTTCAGCTCTACGGGGAGACATTACATCATCTAACCAGAGATTTTGAGCGTCAGTGTATCAAATATGCGAAACTGACTAACAACCTGACTTTTCTCAAGAGATGCAGGCATTCCAATGTTATACATCAAGGCCTTTTAAGTATTTCCCTGTTTGGAATTTTCTGCAGATATTATTCTCTGCAGATATTATTCCCTTGAAGATGATTGAAGCAACTCAAGCGAAACGTTGAAACATTCTCAACCAACAACAGTTCTTTTCAGAACTATTTAAATGGTGTACCGCAAGCATTAATACATATTATTACTTCACCATGCAAACTTTCAAACAATATTTATTAACATTAATATATAACAATATTTAGTTATTTTAATATATAATAATATTTATTTAATTAATATATAACAATATTTATTTATATTAATATATAACTATATTTATTTAGATTAATATATAACAACATTTAGTTATATTATTATATAACAATATTTATTTATATTAATATAACAATATTTATTTATATCAATATTTAACAATATTTATTTATATTAATACATAACTATATTTATTTAGATTAATATATAACAATATTTAGTTATATTAATATTATAACAATATTTATACTAATATAAATCAATATTTATTTATATTAATATAACAATATTTATTTGTATTAATATATAACAATATTTATTTATATTAATATATAACAATGTTTATTTATAGTATATAAACAATATTTATATTAATATATAATAATATTTATACTAATACTGTATATAACAATAGGTGACATACATGACACAGCAGCAATAATTTTTTGTTGATAATTAATAAGGAATCACAAGCCAAATTGTATGAAAATTCATTTTGTAAAATCATCACCAGAATTCCCACCACAGTTTATGCCTCATTAGCCAACATTTCCAACTTGCATTTGACAGATATGTCATCAATAAAGACAAATTATTTTAGGCTCTTCTTTTGTCATCAATCAACAATTATGTATGCAGTAGGAAGAAAACCATATTTCCTTTTTGTATCCAAACTCACTAAATTCATTATGCAAACTAATCATAGTTAATAATTCTTTTTTTATAACACTACATGCTCTTCTTTTGTCATCAATGCACTAATATGCATGCAATAGGAAGAAAAGTATATTTCCTTTTTGTATCCAAACTCACTGTATCCAATTCATTATACGAACTAATCATAGTTAATGATTCCTTTTTTATAACACTACATGCTAAGGCAAACAATAGCTGCATTACATATGACATTATTAGTCATGTACATATAACGAAGTGCTATTGAAGATTGGATACATAAGGAAAGTCCAGGTAACACAAAAGAAAATTATCCTTCGTTATGTGAAATAAAGTATAATTTTTATGTTTATTTTACAGAATACTGTTCAGATTTTAAAGTAAAAAAATTTAAAAAGGAAACAATAGTTTCTTTGAAATAAATAAATGGTTTTCCCATGTTGTCTTTTGCAGACCACTTTTAGCTTCGGTCTTCATTTTAGAGGTTTCGAGTTCGGTTAACCTTGTCCGTGGTTTCTATTTAGAGGTTTCTAATTTGAGACCAAACCCCGAGACCGCCCCAAATTTCAGGTAGAAGATGGTCTCGAATTGGAGGGTGGACTGTACTAACAACCAGGTTAAGAACAAGAATGGAAATGCCTGTGCCAATCTGCAAATTAACCGTGCTGGCTACCAACTGTTTCCTAATATTTTGTTAGATATCAACAGATGGTACTTACTAGATTATGAATACGCAAACTATTCTGTGAGTATTATATAATATAGGCAGGCGATAAAAAAAATCACAAGCCGCTAAAAATACACACATTTTCACATACTGTAATACAAAAAACATGATGCAATACAAAAGCAACATTTTTATGAAAAATATTTTTCAGCCTATTAATGTTACCTGTCTGAGTTCAACGGGTCACACTTGGTCAGTTCTCGTTTCAAGTTGTTGGCATGACGATGATATTCATCTGTTTCTTGAACCCTCTTAGACTTTTTATGTTTCGAACGACGTGAACTGCTAGAAAACCAAGTGAAGCAAAGACAATTTAAATTAACATGGTGTTGCATTGATCAACTAAAAATTAACTATGGAACAACTAATTATTTAATTAATTGATAATAGCAAATGAATCCAAAAAAATACTATAGTTCATGACCTCACCTGTGGATGATAATAATAAATGAATGACACTTTATGTAATCAATAACTGCATAATTACCTGTAGTTTAATTGTTTTTATTCCAATAGTTTGTGACATATGGTTCAAAGAGGCACAAAGGTAGGAAATATATGTCAATACAGTAGATGATGATGATTTGATAATAAACAACTTATAAACATACGGTATCATAGTATAGGCTACTATACAGTTTGGAACTATATTTTTAGATTGTAAAATGATAGTATGTTTGGAGTTTTATGTGATGTTTTAAATATATAGCATAATGTAGATGCTACAACTAAATCTTTCAAGATTCCATTTAATGTCACATGCAAGTACAGTGTATACATATTCCAAACAATTAAAAAAAAAATGATGGCAAATTAGATCCACTAATAGTTCCACTAAATAGGTTAAAATACTAAAATGATCAGTAAGTTTTCATTGGATTATTGATTTAGTTACGCATTCTTAATTTTTGCAAAGCTTTGAGCCAAAGTACTGAAAAAAAATGTGAATAACTAATAGAAGAATTGCCTTTGCAAGTCATGCATTGCTGGTTATAAAAAAAACAAAAAAACAGGAACAGGAGCTAGGCTACAATTAATTAGAATAAATGATTGCAAGCAAGCATTGCAGATTGATGTTAAAGCATGAATGAGTTGTTTTATATTGAATAGAATTCACATCCAAATGCAGGTTCTTGCAAATTAAGAAAATGTAAATTAAATTAAAAAAAATAATACATAAGAAAAAATGTAAATATATATGGTCAGTCCCTCCCTTGACCAACAGCAGTTTGTCCTATCTGAAAAGCAAAATAATTAGAATGAACAAAAGAATTGCCAGTTTCATCTCTTACTACTAGGTCCATAACCAGGTGAGGATATGGAACCAAGATGTCCGCTTAAAATGGAATTTTATGTGTTAAATGGTGCAACTTTTTGTTTTGAATCTCTTGGAGCAGACTGAAAGAATACCTTGAAAAAGCATTTCTGGCTTGTCAAATTCTCTCTGAAAATATCAAAAGATGCATCTTTGTATCAGATTTTAAATATAAAAATACAGCAATTGGATACCTCTGGCTATGCGACCTTTTTCTCTTTTGCTTGCTTTCAACTTCCCTCGCTCGCCACATTTCCTGTTCCTCCTGCATGCGGTTGTGAACATTGGTATGGCGGACCATGTTACGAAAAAACTTTCTGTCCAGATAACGCACTTGAATTTTCTATGAGACAAAAAAGGTGAAATAAATTCCTATCCAATTAATTATACTGTTAATGGTTTCCCAATATAACAGCAGTTAGTAAAGACTGAGGTGACTTTTAACTACTAAAGTGTAATTTTTTTGCTTCAAACATTTTTAATCGGGAAGGGGCGACTGGGGGTGGGGTGACTTGGTGAGGGGGAGAGTGCAAGTACCCCCTAGATACTGTACACCACTAATAATAATAATAAACATTGTCCTTTGAACATATATTCAGAATATGAAGCAGTCATAGCTCTATAAAACATTAAAACAAGAAAATTTGCCAAAAGAAATAATTGGTTCAAGACAATTTTCCAGCCAAGTTTTAACCCCTTCCAAGAATCCAATAGAAAGATTTAGGTAGTAAATTATGACTGCAGACAATTTTCAAATCAGCCAACATAGAAGAAGCCCTGTGCCAACTCACTTCACAAAGGAAATTTGCCAATTTTTTTTATTTACTGGAGATAATTATATAATAAAATTTACCATGACATAAGAAGTTGACTCACCATGCATGATGGAAAAGTTTTATCATGAGGCATAGCATTGAGAATGGATTGTATAGTAAAAGACAACAACATATCTTATTCTTACTATTAATTTTCTATAACAACATCAATATTTTTCATGATTTAATTAATCATAAGTTAAAACATAGTGGTTAATTGTAATTTTTTAAATATTATGTGCACATGCAAAGTAACCAGCTTCTGTTGTAAACTTTTGCATTAAAAGGTAACCAGAGGGGTTTTAGGCAACCTCCCCTCTCCCTTTTTGGTAAGTTTTTTAGTAGTATTTTATTTACTCCCTTGTTTTGTTGTCTTGATGTTGTATTTCTTGTCGAGGAACCTATTTACAATTCCACGACGTTTTGGGCAATACTTGCACCTAATTTTGTTGTTCCCGTTGTTATTATTTTTTTCAGTTCTGTCTTTAAGTTTTAGAAACTAAAAAATGAACATCTTTACATTGTATGGTTTTATATCTTTGTATATATTTTTTGAAATGCGAATACTGTAAATCAAACCAAATTATACATCATTAATTCAATTCATTTTCATTCCTACGAAAGCAAACATGGGCCAATATCCGCTAAAACAAGAAGGTATTTAACAAATACAATAAATAATTATAATACAATTAATCAAATAAACTTACAGTCTCCGAGTCCATTTTTATTTTTCTTTCTTATTCTTATATGAGATATATAACCGGAACCAAGGCACAGAAACAGAATAGCAACTGATTATGACTTCCATCCAACTGAATAAATTCTGAAAGTGTAATTAAAAAGTAAAAAACTAAAATCTCTTGGTTAAAAATTCTAGCATTTTTGTTTGGTTGGTGGCTTGCTTGGCCTATCCCTCCTCTACTAGAATCTGCTGCACATTTAATTATATACACATGTTGACCATATTGTATAACCAGCCAGGATGAGATTAGGCCTATGCAGTGATGGAAGATAATGGCCATATTCGACTGGTCGTTCTTCATTAAACCACGCCCACACGCGTAGTGATAAAATCCTACTTAACGAAGACGACCAGTCGAATAGAAAACTGGTAAATACTCAATAAAAGAAAATGGCTGCAAAGTTAGCGCGATACACGCTGCGTAATCAAGGCTGCTTCAGATTGTGGCAGCATGGGTTTTTCGTAAAAAAAAATGTTTTTATCCAGTTTTTAAATTCTGTTAGCCTACAATTATTTTCTGACTTCAATGTCGGTAAATATTATAATTTTTATTTTTTGGAATTTAATCTAAATTACCGGTATATTAACGCAAATGTTGTTACTAAACTGACCAATCGGCCACATATTTTTTGGTCATGTGCATAACTTAACGCTGATTAACACATTCTGGTTACGTTAATTTTCGTTGTTTACGAATTAGTCAAATGAAAATAATACTCAACGAAAATTTGTACTCAACGAAATGAACGAGTCGAATAAGCCCTATATGGTAAGGTGAGATGGAGCATTTCCAATGGTTTGACCTAGGCCTACCGTAAATACCCCAGGCAAGGCTAGGAGTAGGGCCTGGCCCTCGCCTAGGGCCTAGGCCTACTTCATAGTCTATGCCCGACCGACACTGACAGCATCAACCACAGGCTAGGAGGCCTAAGCTGCCTACACAGCACTACTAGTAGTAGTACTAGCCTAGTAAGTAGAGTACTATAGGCTACTACCACTACCTAGTATAGGCCTAGGCCGAATACCCCCTAGCAAGGCCTACTTATTTATTGTTCCCGGTAAACAACACCACCACCACCACTACTACTACTAAAGGAAGGGCAAGTAATACAAAATCTATCACGGAAAGTAGGCCTGCCTACTAGGCCTATATTATTTATTATAATTAAACAAAAAACCTGTTTTGTTCAAAACGACAGCTCTTGGAGTCAAAGAGTATACTGCCCTCTTTCGATGTTGTTGCGATGGACGCTGTTTTGTTGTAACTCTCATCAGCTCTTGCCTCTTGCTGTGTGTAGGCATAAATCTAGGCCTAGGCTACCAAAGAACTCGGATCATCGTCAGGTACTTTACTTAGTTTTTATGAATAACGTAATAACTCATTTTATTGTGTTTAAAAAAAATTGAAGTTTATCATAGTCGAGACTCACTCGCCTACTACTACTCTAGGCCTATGTAGGCCTTGGCTGACTGAGCTGAGGCCTACCCACCCTAGCTAGGGGGCCTAGGTCTAGGCTGCCCCAATAGGTAGGCCTAGGCTAGGTTAGGTTAGGACTTAGTTCAGGCCTAGCCTAGGCTAGTTAGGTAGTGAAACTAGCCTACTAACTAATTTCTTTTAATTAAGTTTTAGTATATCTGCTATCATCACTGCCGTCAGTGTGTTTATTATAGGCGGCCTGGCCTCATTCACAGGAAGCTCACAATCAAGGCAGAGCAATGGACACCAGTAAAGATGATGATGTGATGAAGCAAGCCCAGCACATCTGGTCAATGTTGGACGAACTTGCTGACTCGGACCCAGAAGCTTACAAGAAATTCATTGAGAAAAATATAGCAGAAGGTAGAGAAAGGCAGGCACCAGCAAAGCCTAGTATGTGCATAAAAACAAGGACATTGGTACGCTTACACATTTACGTAAATGCAGTACTTAATAAGTTTGACCTACCCCCATTATTATTTGCTTAATCATTTATTTCTCCAAGTTGGATTTCTGTCTTTATGCTTCTTTAAGCCTAATGAACAAAATTAGTTTTCATTATTGATAATATTAATTCATTCTTTTCACTGTCTTTGTGATTATGGAACAGCGCTAGTCCTCAAATCACTCACATGGAACAGAGATCAATATTATGCCATCGTCTGGAAGCATTGAAAATCTGAAAAGTGTCTCTGAAAAGATATTTAAGAGAGATAAAATCAAAACTATCTTGCAATATACTAAATATGCATTTTGTGAAGCATTAAGCCAATAAAAAAAAATTATTGTGTTGGCCACGTTTTGGGAAAATCCAAAAAATGGGTAGGTCAGTAGGAAAAGCTGTTTTTTTTCCCATTTTTTAAAATTTTACACATAATGTGTTTAGGCCTAAAAAGTAGAAAATACAGTTGAACTTGCTTAAGTGGAATCCAAAATGACATTGAAACAGTGTTCAACTTAGAAATTGTTAGTTAATGGAAAACACAAATATTGGCCATGTAAAATAATATCGACTTATAAATTATTCGAGTTAGCCAAAGTCGACTTTGACTTAGGCAAGTTTAACTGTACACAAAAATACAACAAAGACCATTTTTAAATCTATATTGAAGAGCAAAACGATCGCATAACACTGTCGCATCGCCTACCGTTGCAAGAATAGGCCTATTCCATGCTTTATAGCTCGTTCAATTTTTTTTCGATGTAGTAAAAAAAAACAACTAAAATGCCGACTCCTTATTTCGATTTTTTGGGTCGGTCGGGAATGGCCAACTCAATAATTTTTTTTTTTTATTTGGCCTTATGAATACATGTGGTGTGATATGTTAATTCTTGTTTGTGTATTCCTTTTTTCAGGGTGTGAACCAGAGCGACTTATTCATCAACATTTGTAGTTGGAGTCAAGTTCCTCGACCTAAGACAGATCATGAACCGATACCAGTGATTGGAGGCGATATAAAGGAGTTGAAAGAAGACAGTAGTATGTGATGGGAATACAGTTCTTCCTCGATTAAAAATTCCAGCTGCCTGTTTATTTTTGTGACAATTACTGTTTTTATAGAGATCATACCTGCTAAAATCCAGGAAAACAGTGGTCCCAAAATTGGTCATTAATTGAACCTGTATTTTACATTAGTAACTAATACTACAGTTGAATTTGCTAAGTCAAATCCAAAATGACATTGAAAAATTATTTGACTTACAGATCGTTAATTTAATCGAAAACACAACAATTTGGCATGTAAATAAGATCGGCTTAGGCAAGTTTTACTGTATAACATAGTTCACACTTCCATTAGCTTGTCAAGTTATTGAATTAATATTATTAGTCTTTGAAAATAATATTTTCTTTTTGCAGAAACATTTAAAGTTGTGCCAATAGCATTTAACCCTGAGGTATTAAAAGAATGCTTTGAAAGGGAAGACACTACTAGTATGCTGTTGAACCTTTCGATAGACTTCATCACAGATCTGTTTAAAATCAACGTTGACAGAAACTTCACTAAGTTGAAAGATTCAAAGTTTAAAGGAGATCCGGTAACACTTATTTCAAGTTTTCAAAAGTCGTCGTCAAAAAAAAGTGGAGTAACAGAATTAATGCAAGATGACGAGGATTCTCTAATTGGACGTCTCGGAAAAATTCTCAAAAAAGAAGATAAACAATTAGGTGAAACCGAGGGAATAATTCTAAGCACAAACTCTCCTAAGAAGCCAATACAAAATGGCGGGAAGTTAATTGAAGAAATAAGCAGTACAGAAATTAGTTTACCAACGCCAGAATATCTTTTAAAATTGGTTAACAAGGATGATATCTGTCTCTTATACACATCTAGATGTGTATAAGAGACAGGTGAAGCATTAAGCCAATAAAAAAAAATTATTGTGTTGGCCACGTTTTGGGAAAATCCAAAAAATGGGTAGGTCAGTAGGAAAAGCTGTTTTTTTTCCCATTTTTTAAAATTTTACACATAATGTGTTTAGGCCTAAATGATTTTTAAATTATATTTTTCCTTATGTAGGATGATGTGTGTTTACTGGTGGAGGACCTTTACAAACTTCAGCTGGTTCTTCCAGAAGCTGTAATAGAAGATAATACCACTGCTAAATTCAATAAGAAGTCAACAACATTGAACATCAAAATACCAACTAAATCACAAGCCAGTTTGTAGTATCTACAGTACTTATCTGCTGATTTGTGGTGGTGCGATGAGGACACTTTTACCATGAACAGGCATGGTATTTGAAAATAATGATTGCTCGGTTGGAAATTTGTTTTGACTATATAGGCTACAGAAGTACTGTAAAATGTTACCAGTACCTAAAATCTATGACGTATTGAATTAATTTTTGGAAAGTGCTTTTTTCAAATATAATACAGTACTGTACAAGTATTCAGGATCCTTTATATATACAGTTCAATTTGCCTAAGTCGAATCCAAAATGGCATTGAAAAATTATTTGATAAAATTTGGCAGATCATTAATTAATTGAAAACACAACAATTTGGCATGAAAAATAAGATCGACTTGGGCAACATCAACTTAGGTAAGTTTAACTGTATTATAGAGAATATATTGTATATTTTTTTTTACAAAAGCAAACCATAGACAATTAAGGCAGTCAGGCTTGGGCAACTTTTTTGGCTTTCCCATTGCAACAAATAGCCATTATGCGTACAAAGTTTATAGGGCATTAAAAGAAAACAGGTTAATGTCCACAGAAAAACAAATTGATTAATAATCCAAATACACATCCAAATTTTGAAAAAATCTTTTATTCTACACTTTAGATAAATTATGGAAAGTTATCAACACATAAATTGATTAGAAACTCTTTTATTATGAAAGAAGGTCAACGACCTTTTATACAGAACAAAAATATATACATGTACATTTTACATACATCTTCAAATGATGAATATACTACAAACAACTGTCTGTTGATTCATTCTCCTCATAGTTCATTCTCCTCGCAGTAATAAATAAATGCTGTTTTTTTTTCAACTGATTTACGATTTTGAGTCTAGAATCATTTAGGCTACATTATAAGTCATTTCAAATCATAAAAAATATTAAAATGACTAAGATTCTAATATTATTATCGAGACAATGATTTCATTTATCAGAGGAAGAAGTGCAATAATATGAAAGACTCACTAAGCATTATATTATTGATGCTAAGGAGTCTTGACCTTAAATATTTCATTAATGATACTAAAGAGTCTTTTTTTATGAGTTTCAAGCAACTGTGATGAGTTTACAACTTGCTGATAAAGAACAGATAATTGGAGGCATTGACTAACCAGCAAAATGATATTGGTTTCCATGTAACTAATCCTTCGAAGTAACATCAGATTACAAAATCAGTGATAGTAGTCAAGACATATTAATTTGTACCATATGATTGGTGAATATTGCTACCAGGTGATAAAATAATATCCATTCCCTTCTCTCATGAATATGCAAATGAGATTGAAGTCTTGTGTACATGGCATACTGTACAAATAAATTAATAGTGATAAATAAGATATGAAAAATTGATTATGAAATGTAGTATGTTTAACATAAAAAATAATTACAAAAAAATGCCCTGTTTATAATCTCTTGGTAGCTCCTTATAGCTATCTAAATAGAGTATTGTAATAAATGTTTAGTTTTACCTAAATATAGGAAAAGGTTTCATAGCTGGTATCATTCTATGCAGAAATATATAATGCATTATCATGGTGGTAAATTCAATACTTAATTTTCAAGATTTCGCAGTGAAGTACAGTTCACATTTTGTGCGTTATTTAATCAAAATCTTTTGTTTAATTTCCATATGATAAAAATTTTTGTGAACAATCAACTCCAAATAATCAACATTTCAAATAATCAAAAAATAATATATATAAACTACAGCTTGAGCAACAAGGTATCAAACACACTTATGCTATCCCATAATGCTTTATAATATCCAAGAGTGCTTTGTACATTTTACAATATATTCTATAAATACTGCCCTCTTTCATATAAAAGCATTCTATATTTGAAACATCAATCATTACTTAATATACTTAAGTTCCTGAGATTGTTGCCACTTAACTTAGCACAGCCAGTACCATTTGGTCATGTGATAATTGAGCCCAAATTTGTACCATGTAAAGATACCAAGCCTACCTTTTATTAGGTATACGTCATAATGATGTGACCATACAGAACTGCACTTTAAAGAAATTAATGATTAAACTACTCTGGTAACCTGTCAATAACACTAAAAATGGTTCTGTTTTGAAGATGATGGAATCTGAAGCCAACACAAAGTTTTCCATCAAACAGCAATTCCTCTATTCCAACAATTCTGAAGATAATAGTCAAGGAAATCCATCAAATATATTCCGCATGTTCGAACAATTTCAAATAATTGTCAAAGGTTAGGTATTAATCTTTGTCCACATCAAATATTATTTGACAAGAACGTAATATCCCTAAATATGATCATGGAAATACTGTATGACATCCTGACCATATATAGGCACATCATGACTATATATGGGCATACAGCTAGTTTCTTGTTGAAGAAAATTTGTTAATCGTAACAGCCTGAGATGTTACCTATTTCACTAGTTGAGATATTTTCGACATTTTCTGGAGCCACAATTGCAAGGCAGCTTGACGTCCTCAATAGGAAACTTGTAGTCATACGTCAACTCCTCACCAACAAAGATTTGTCGACTGGCAAAGATCACGATGTGTTTCTTTCCATCAACGTTGATCACACGCGAGTAGCAGTTTGGCTAAAAGAAAGAATACATCGGTAATTATGAATAGTTAAATGTTTGTTATTTTTTTAACTACTGTAACAACACAATTAAATAGGAAAAATAAATATGAACATAGAAAACCAGCGCTATGCATCCAATATGAAAATAGTGTTGTTATATATTGTAATTTACTTCAGTTTAACATATACAAAAACTAAATTTAAATACTGTAGTAATATTTACAGTCAGAGAGTCTTACAGAGACCAACTAATTATGGCTTTCAGGCTGAGTTTATGTCGCAAGTTGTAAACAGTCATTTCCGGGAGATCTATTTAAACGAGCTTTCTCAGCACACATCTAATTTTGTTTTGCTGCATTTGTTGTGACTAATAACAATAAAGGGCTAAACAGTAGTAAAAACATGCATATTTAATCATTTTGCGGGAATTGGATTATTTTCCAGGAGGACGTTCTGACTAATGCAGGATACTTGGGAACCCTGCTCTTGCAGCTCAACTGACAATTGTGACAAAAAATTTCATTTCAATTTGTTTCAATTACTCTTTTCAAAATTAATCCAAATTAATACTGTACCAAACAACAGGAAATACATACCTCACAAGAGTGGTTGATGAAACGTGCAGCATTACCGTGGACTGTGGCATCGATGACATCATAATCATCAATGCGAAACATGTAACAGCCAATACCCTAAAGAATTAAAAAAACAAATACAAAAATACATCACGTATGAGGCATGCCATCCCAAGACCAGTGTGCTATGTGTGAGGTCTCTCCACAAAATGAGTCTCATGGTTAGAAAATCAAAAATTTAGTTAATATTATATTTTGGTAGATGATGATATAAGCTTCAATTGGGTCTTTTAATGGTTTCCCTATGATAAGTGGATCCAGAAATGTGAGCATTTAAATTTTGGTGTATGAGAATCACATTTTGAGAAAATCAGCATCAAAGATAAACTAATCTCTACACATAATAGGACTAGAATTACAGAATATGTGCAGAGAACACTGTTTTAATAAGAAAATTCATTTAAAAAGTATACAATCATAAAATTTAAATATCAAGTTATTTAAAAACATTAATATCAAAATTTTGTACTAATGTTTACTTTGACCTGTTTGGTGAATATCTCAATATGATTTCACAAACTCACTAACGATGTGTCTCATTTGGTGGTGAGACCTCACATATGTTAAACTGATTAATTAGCACACGAATGTGACAGCATTCAGGGGCGGATTTAGGGGGGGGCCGGCCCGGCCCCGGCCCCCCCTTTTGGGAGGTAAAAAAAAAGAAAAAAGAAAGAAAAAGAAAAAAATGATAGCCCAGAACGCCTCAAATGTTATTTTCGGGCGTCTAGAACACAAAAATTTCGCGGGGGCATGCCCCCGGACCCCCTAGGAAATTGTTGTCTCGATCGACCCAAATTTCGGCCCCCCCTTTTGGACATCTCTGGATCCGCCCCTGGCATTGTTACACTGTAATGCTTTTACTTATAACTTTGGCAACTGTAATTTAATTCCAGTAAACGACCAATCGTTTTGAAGCTTATAATGTGGAGAATATGAGTATGTTAAAAAGTCAATTTGCATGTACAGGTATTTGATGCTGATTTTTGCATGGCAAGTCCCATATTATAAATTTTAACATTACGTTAGAATCTCATGTCCTATTGGGCACAGTATAAAATCACTAAAAAAATTTATAAAGCTGGCATCAACTGCAAGTGAAAGCTTGGGCTATACTGTAAATATCAATTTCAACATCTCACTTCTTTCCCGTCGAAAGGGCTTTCAAATACAACAAAAGAAGACCTCAGACATGAATGAGACACAGACTTATTTTTTGCCTGTTAAAAATAGGATTTAGTGAAGTCCCAATCGGTCATGGATAAGTGAATCTGTCCAGGGACACATTGTCATAGCAAAAATTGAAATATTTCTAGTATTTAATAAAGTATATATCCATGTCATACCTTGCTTTCATAGTACTTCTCTCGTTTGTCTGTTAAGACTGAGCGGATGACTGTTCCACTGTACTCGATGATCATCTCGCCCGCTTCAATCAACCGTTTACAAAATAAGCCCCGGCCATGAATATCAGATCTGAAATAAAAAAACAAAAACAAAAACATAAAATATGGGTTAACATAAACAGATTATTTGATTTATGTATTGACATCAGACAGAAAGCACACTTGCCAATTACAAGATGGAATGATGCTTTATAAACTAAGTCTCATTATGAGGTTTAGGAAAAGGAGTTTTTTTCATTATTTTTTGTAAGAAAAGAATTCTGGTGTCACAGACAGGATTTGGACTCATGGGATTGGAAGCCTACACTCACCTGAATACACCTACTGCTTCCTTTGCTGTATCTTTAAGATGTCGGAAACGCATAGCCATTGGAAGGTCAATACTCGTAGGACGCCTACACAGAACACAAGGAGACACAAATAATGAATGAAGTTTGGTGACACAAATATCTGTGATTTGTCCTTATATGGGCATTGTGGTATCATACCACACCCATATATGGGCAAATCTAAGGTAGTTGTCACATAAACTTGAAAAGTGCTTCATAATAAAAGGATCAAATGAGGTTATATTAAGTTTCAACATTGACTACAGTAAATTGCGTAATTTAAAGACTACTTGAAGAATAAATACTTGTTGGCACCAACTAATTCACACAGAACAATTAAGATAATGTTGGAAATATTTTAACAATTGAAAGATTATTACTGGAAAAATTGATGGATAACAAAATATTCAGTAGATCCAATATGATTCGTGAGTGTTGAAATTAATCTATCTTGTACTTTAAACTTCTAGTAGAAAAATATCACCAAAAAAAGCATTAAACTGTTGAAAATGTATTGTTAGAGTTTGTAACAAAAGATTAAATAATAAGCTAAGAATATACCTGGCACTACCGTATGAGGAATCATCATCATCGTTGACAACTAGTAGAGGAGGAGGTTTGCGATGTTTTGATGCCAAGAAATCAAACATATCATGACTGAAGCGAGTCCGTTTATGGGGCTCAGCACGTGCGCATCCATGGGCGTTGATGGCGAGCTCCTACAAAGGTTGTGAAAAGCGTAAAGTTAGACATACAGTACATGGGTCGCTATATACATAGTAGAGCAATCAATTTGCAGTCTATGATTTTTGTTTGCCTATACCACACACAGCCACAATTATATTGTAGTAGGTATACAGACAAGCACCGAAGACAATACACTACATACTGATTAGTAATTAATAATTTATATATTTCTCTTATAGCAATAAAATAGCAACAATATTAATGAGGATGGATGATGATAGTAGCAATAAACAATAATTATCATTTTAACATGCTTACTTCCTCTTCATCACTTTCTCGTTGATATTTATGGTATCGAAAATGGTACTTGCGACAATTTGGTGCACCAAATAGCTGCTCAATAAGGAACACCATTGCATCATTTGTAATCCCAAGCATACACAGACCATGAACACCTGAAATTGATGTTACACTATTTAAACATTTCTGACAATACTTCATTTTATGTAATTATCATAACAAGGACCAAATTACAATGCTACATGAAGACTAGTTTAGCAAGCTACAAATTGAACTATTTATCTTGAATGGCAGTTGCCATCCAACTTTGCTGGAATTTTAAAAAATAAAAATGGACAAATTTTTTACCTGTGAAAGACAAACTCTTCATCCTGGCATCATTCCTCCGCTCATTGACAAGGTCCACCACCTGCTTCCATGCATCCTCCATCGTATCCGCACGAGTACTAAACCCATCATCACTGGTGACCTCAAACACAAGATGCGGCTCATCCTTAGACGGAGGAGCTGAGCTTTCTCTCAATTCTTTCTCCATCAACATGGAGAGCAGTGGTGAGGTCACCTCTTGTTCATCGGCAACATTCTGAATGGGTGGGGTTAAATCTTTGTGAACCAATCCTGCTGGCTGTGTTGATTCATCTAATAAGGTGAGATATAAAGATGATTACCTGATAAACAATCAATCTTCAAATTAAGTGGATTGGTGTCTGCTTCTCTTCCAATTCTGTAGGCTTAGGTTCAAATCTTAAGCAAGTGCATCATTTCTATTACAACTAAACACAACACTACCTAAAGTTAACATAGCTTTAACTGTGAAATTCCAACAAGTGGCAAATGAGAGGTTTTTTTTACTTTATGTATTTCAACATTATTTTAACACGTTGACTGCCAGACCTTTTTCTTAGGTTCTCTCCCATGTGCCAAAACAAGTGTACATCTACAAACACATTTTTTATTTTAACTTTATCTAGGCATCATATATCATCAAAATTGTGTGTCTAATAATTTGCAGCAAACATTTTAACCTTTGTTTTTCAAAGTAATATACTGTTTTGTTTTTTAGTAAAACACTTCTATTTATCACTAACTTGTTATTATGACAAGCATACCTGCAATGGAGTAACTGCAAGCTGTTAATTCAGGTCTTGCTACTTGCTACTGAAATATGTGTTGTTATTTAAGTCAAAAAAACTTACCTATTTCCCTCTGAACATTATTAGGAGTTGCTGGTGTACTTGGAATGGCATCAGTATCCATGTTTCTTGTTGTGTCCTTTACATTGCAAGAACGGATCTCAGGTTGGTGCACAGCTGTCACTGGCTTGTCAAGTCCAGATTGGACTGGTACAGCAAGATGCTTTGCACTATCACTGTTCATAACTGACATTGTTTTAGGAAGACTTTCTGTAGGTGGAAGCAATAAAGTAGGACTGGAGGCCATCGTGGTGATGGTGCTTGGGTTTGTGATTACATGCTGAGCAAGACTTTGCAGAATGCTGCAACTTGAAGTTGTAACTGAGTGCGGTAACTGAGTCGTGCCAAGATATCTAGGTACAGATACGTAAGACGGATTCAAGATACTCTTCATATGGTGGATTCCAAAAGGCGCAACTTTTATTGGCTCTATACGTGGTAATCGGGGGATTGGTAACTTCTCTGGATGGATACGTTTATAAGAATATCCAGATTTCTCATTAGACTCAAGAATGGAAATCGTTTGAGATGGACGTATCAATTTTGGCGGACTTCTGGAGACAATGTGGTGGTTTTGAGCAAGACTTGGAATGGCAACTTTGTAGCCAGTTGGTACTTGGCCAACAGGGGATAAAGATTCAACAGGTATTACTGTATCTTGTGGAGGAACAGAAATGATACGCTTGAAGTCTGAAAAAAGGGACCGTTCATCGGTTTGGTTATTAAGGAGTGGAGCAGAGTTAATCAAGCGATGCACTGGGTTTGTGTTTATTAAGTTTGACAGTGGAATAGTCTGTGCCATGGTAACACAATTTTGGATTGGAGCAGAGCTGAGTGGAGTACGAGAAATTTGTATAATGGATGGTTTCATGTTTCTTTGGACAGCCTCCCGAACTGGTAAAACTACTGGTGAAGGGGGTAAATGGGCACTAGACGGACTTCTTACTGGACTTAAAATTTGAGTGTTCTCTTTAACATAAACTGTTGGTATTGTAGCTGGTGCATTAGCCATTGGATTAAGAGGTTTAACCATCACAGTGACTGTGTTTACAACAGGAACAGTGGGCTGTACAATAACAGGTGCCTGTACAGGAACAGTAGGCTGTACAAGAACAGGTGACTGTACAACTACAGATGGCTGTACAAATGCACCTGGAATGCTTAAACTCCGGATGAAGCTTTGTGGATTGCTAATTGGCGGTATTTGTGTACCTATGACAGCAGATGTTGGTACCTGGCTACTATTACCAACACACTTTGTTGATTTGTTTTCAACAGGTGAAGAATTATTAATGACCTGTTGAGGCTGGCTTAGTGGTATTGTTCCTTCTTTTCCAGAACTGCATGGGTTTCGAATTTCTTTGAATATGCTGCCATCATCTTGATTGTTGACATACATATACACAGGCTGCATTGTCTGGAGACCACAATCTTTTGCCTGTGTATTTTTTTTTCTGATTATATTTGGTTTAAATCTGTCCCTTGCAACCAAATTATCTGAAGAACTTCTAACGCAGGAAGACAGATGCGCTTGAGTGTCACTTCTTAGGCACTCGTCCATTGATGTTACTTTAAGATTTTTGTCAGCTGCTGAATTTTCTTTTGTATTTTCAAATTTAGATGTAGTATCACCAACTTCCTGATTAATGTCCGAGTCCTTTGTTTGTGTGGCATTAATTTCCTCAATTACTTCATCACTTGTAATAGTTTTACTGTTTCCAGCGTCATCTTTTCTTTTCAATGGCGGTCTTCCTCTTTTCCTCTTCACAGGTGGCGATTGCACGTTGTCATCCAAATCATTACTCTTTTCTTTAGCCTCCAATGGTTTTGAAGTATCACCACTGTTTCTTGGCCTCCTTCTTGTACTGATACCACCTTGAACATCTCCACAAGATTCATTTTCAAAAAGTCTTGATCTAGTCACTCTTCTTTCATTTGTATTTCCTAATGCATTTTCAGCTTGAACTTCATTACTTACAGGTAGCTTTCGTGGGCGACCACGTTTTGGCACGGCAGGTTTAATGGCATCAGAAGTTTCATCTTTTTCTAAACTTTCATGAGCAGTTTTAATATCCACTGGTGATAAGCTAACTCGTAGACCTTTCCTGATCTTTGGTGGTGATGGAAGCTCATCTGTGATTTCCATTGTCTCAGATTCTGATGCGATTCTGATCAGCCTGGAAGAGGTGTTCCTCATCGGGTAACTCTTTCTTCCTGGTTTTGCAATATCCAATTTATCCAGTTTAGATTCTGGGACAAATTCATCAAAATTCAATCTTTCAGCCTCTAACTTATATTTTTTTCTTGATCGTGGGCTAATCATTGCTTCATCAATGTTGGTACCAAGCTTTCTCTTTAACTGACCGTTGTCAGGATCTTGCAATAACACATCCTCATCTTTGGTGATCACAACACTGAGTTCTTCCAAACCTCTCTTATTGTCTGTCACATTATCTTGCCTTTGTTTACAATTCATGATATGTTTAAGATAGAAACTTTCCTTGACGTACGACTTACTGCAATATGTACATTCCAATGGCTCATCATTTCTCTGACATACACCAATGTGTTTTTCCTTTGACAAATCAATTATATCTTTGCATTCATCCATCACATTATCATTTGTTTCAACTGTTGATTTTTCGCAATCATTTGGCCCACTGTTATTTTCATTATTTGTTTGTGATTCTTCTTTCCCCTCTGTATATTTAGCAGTAACTGCTACATCCCCATTACAAGTGATCAATAAAGGTTCTTTATTGTTATCTGTATTTGAATTTTGTGTAGTGATCTTAGAAGAATTAACGCTGAGAAGATGGTTGATGTCAGTACCAAAAACAGGCTTAGTGGAGAGGCTGTCTTCTACATTATGCTGTCCTTCACCATCTTCATCCACAAGTTGTAACTGCTGATCCTCAGCTTTTCCAAAGTCAGTTTCAGAATTTTCCTTTCCATCATCTTTAGAAACACTTTTCATTAAATAATTGCTTGTTGGAAATTGAGTTGATATCAAATTTGTAATTTCTTCTGAATTACCCACAATGCAAGGATCTGTGATATCACCACTATGGTCTGCAGTGTTCTGATTTACCATGGCTTCACAGGGTTGATGACTGTCATGATGACTGCTATGAGATACATCAACAAGTATACAGGAATCAACATCAGTTTTTGTTATGGCAGCATCTGAGTCGATACTATTCTCAGTCACTAACACTTGAGTACTTTTACAGACTGCATCTCCAATAGGATTTCCTCCAATATCTGCTTCTTTAATTGCTACATCACTGACATGAATTTCATTGGTTTTCAGGGTGTTTGACAAGGTGTTACATACAGTATCTCTGATTGGTTTACATTTCTTTTGTGATCCAGCAGCAGCTCTATTCAAGGCTTCAACCATTCTACTCAACACAACAGGGTGGTCATCATGGACCAGTTGTGATTCTTCTTTGTTAGTGCAGTTAATAATCATGTTACCCTGTAGGTTTGTCTCTCCACCAGACCAAGAGTGACATCTTGCATTTTCAGTCTTCTTTCTCCAGCTGTCCGTTCTGGACATTGGATAGCTGTTGCTTAACTTTGTGGATTCGTTGAGACTGAAAACAAAATCTTCATCGACTCCCATGCCAAACTGAACTGAATTTCCTGTAGTTTCTTGATAAACCTCTAAAGCTTGTTCTGATAACCTCTTGACTTTTGCTGGTTCCTGTGTTTCCATTTGATCAAGCTGCTGATTCTGAGAATCAATGCTGCTATTTATTGTCACCAATTCAGATTCATTTTGATGGAGTGATTTAATGACATCCCCTGCTTCTTCATTTGTCTCCAGTGGAATGACATCTGAGGTTTCAAAATCAGTTGAATGTCCGAAATTTGAGATGGTCGTTAACATATTGTCATCACTCATGACATCTGTGATGGGCACTGGGTTGTCAGCCATGTTAGCATGAACTTTATGTATCAATGTTTTGTTGGTTTCAACAAGTGAAGACTGGTCAGAAGATGTCTCTGGTGTTACCTCTAAAATCTTGATGTTATAAACACATCGTTTACCTGGATCAACAGTACTCCAGTACACACGACAACACCTGAGAAAAGAAAACATATTTGCTTATTACAATTACGTACAAAATTGAGGGGAATTGATAATTTAGTTTTGAATTATTGAAAATGTAATAATCATTCTCAACTGTCCAATTCTATGAGTTGGAACAGCCAATACTCAAAAATCTCTACCAACTAATAAGCCTTACCTATAGTCAATTGGATAAAGTGCTTCTTTGCAGTCCGAGAGAGGACCTAAACGGCCTAAATACTCCACTGTTAATGACCCAATCATAGCATTCACTTGTGATGGCTGTAAACCTTTAGAAAACGTCTTGTTTGGTTTCATGTTATCAAGACTGATGCAAACCCGTCGCAATACTGCAAAGTGACCATCCTCAACAAGCTGAGAGAAAAATGGAAAAAATATATACACTGTACTCTCTCTACATATAAGGAATTTGAAAAAAAAAATAGAAAAATAATTTACGCATTAACAATAATAAGTTCTTCACATATTTTTTATTTTGTGACAAGTTTAAAGGGTGCCACCGCATTGGCATAATCCCCACAGTTGCATGTAATGAACACCACAAACATCTGCTGCTCGAGTGTGTTTGTGCAGTTGTGACCATCACAATTTCACCAGTTATAATATTTAACATATAAAGAATAGCATATGCAGGTCTCCCTCTAAAGAAAAACCCCCTCCAATTAAAAACTGGAATGATGTTCATTTATTGTCCAGCCTAGGGCTACACAGGCCAGATCAGTGGAATTCTTTTTTTACCAAAACACAATTTTTAATGTTGGTTAATGGTTGGGTTTTTAATTTTACTGCACCAGTAAAACTGAAGGCTAAAATAGCATTGGAAAAACACTGTTACTACAAAAAGTCTTAAACTGGTTCCAGCCAACTTCAGCAAAACCAGCACATTGAAAGCAGAAGCTTACCTCTTTGTCAGCATGGTGTCCATGCTGCCAACAAAAAACTTTTTTGTCCTCAAGGAAGAATGCGTTCTTTTTTCGAGCACACATAAAGTGATAATTTGCAGGGCAACCACGAGTGTTACAACCAACTGTTGCACCTGTCCGATCACATAGTTCACAACGCTGCATAAAAAAAGATCAAATTATAAGGATATTGTCCCTGACACTGGATGAGGCCATTTCTGAAGTGATGTTACAACAATTTTTATTAGGTCAAATTTTAAAAATTGTAGTATTTACCAATAAACGTCCTCTGGATATAGCACTGTGGACATTCACCAATGACCCATCAATTTCTTCAAACACCTCTGCTGACCACAGCCCACAGTTGATGTGTATCCACTCGTCCTGTCCGCTGTAGAGCAGTCGTCCAGCGTGATCTGGCTCATGGTCACCGTACTCTCCACAGAAGTTGCAGCGTCGAGGATCTTCAATGTTCTCATTCAGTGGCAGAAAATCAAATGCATCCTCAAGTTCTGTTCAACATTAAATAAATATAAAGTAATGAATTAAATAGGCATGATAATGCCATCCATATATGGACATGATGATGTCATATCATACCCATATATGGGCAAATCACAGGTATTTGCACAATAAATTTAAGTTGGTTAAAGCTCTATCGACTCATGCTTTGAGACAAATTTTGTAAATTACCCATATACTGTATAGTTATTAAATGCCTATGTGGTCATGATGTTATGTTATACTTCTGTTGTGTTTTTGATATGTATGCTTTTATTTTACATCAATTTCACATTGCATTTATTATATTATCTGCTGGTTTTTATTATTAATCTATTTTTATTTACTTTATTTTATTATTACATTTTTTTTTCTTCTTTTTTTTCCCTTTTAGTTAAGATTTTAAACTTTAGAATATTATATTATTTTAATTGGATTTGGATTTTCCATTACTATTGTCTCTTTTTTTATGAATTTATCTTTACTTGTAACTTTTGTTCTGTTGTATGGTCGAACCTCTCCTGCGTGAGAGTGTTCCTCTGCTTTGAAAGAGAGAGTCAATAAAATTATTAATTATTAATATTATGACCATATTTAGGCATTTAAATGTTTTTGTCTTAATAGTCAGGAGAGTGCTTATGCCTTACACTGTGTCACATATTGGGAATGACACTAAAATCATCACTTGCATCAATAAACAGCAAACCACTAAATATAATGCTCAATGAAGTACCTGAACTCTCTTCAGCGACTCGTTTCGATGGGTGAACCTTCTTCAGCGGTGATGGTTGTGGTGTCTTTGGTGCTGGTAATGTCCTTACCTGCCACTGTGCATACTCATGATCAGAATGTGGGGGTAATACAGCATTGGGCAGCATACCACTAAATGAAGAGGGGGAAATATCAATAAATTTAAAAACATACTATACATCTTATACAATGTTTTTCAAGCCCTCATTGTTATCACCACTGTCGAAAATTCAAACAATTTGAAGTAATGTTAAAAGCTTGTGGATTAGGAATTGTGGCTTTAATTTCAAGGTGCTGTTCATAAATAATAACTTTATAATATTCAATTCATTGGGTTTATAAGAGGGTTCTCACCACGCTGGTTGGCGGTGGTTGGGCCCGTCCAGCACTCAACATTTCCGGACAGTATTTTTAGGCTGCCGACCACCACTATTTTTGCAATTGATAGTGGAAAAAAAGTAGGCTAACAAAATATTTTCCTTGCACGACTACCAGATTAGGGAGTTGTTGATTAACCTGATTTTGTCAGCTGGGGGAGAGGGGAGGTTTTGATGTCGACGACCATGCCCCCTGGGGTTGGGGTGGTCGCCGACCACCACTCCAAAATTCTGGTGAGAACCCTGTATAAGTGAACTTATTACTGGTTGTTTATAAATATATTTAAAATTACTTCATTCAATCACTTATGCATACAAAGTAAGTCAGATAAAGAAGAGATGGAAATGCCTAGAACAGAATCTGAAAAACAGAAAATGCAAGGCATGAACACACAGTCAATCACAGACATTACTTCAACAAAAGGGGGCAGCAGACTTACTCTGGATAAATATGATTCTTCTGCCAACAGTTAGAGTTCAACACATTACACCATGGAAACATCTTTTCCATGACATTCAGAAACTGTTCTCGGACAACTAGATTGCTGCGCTTTAGAGCCCCAGTCTGCAAAGTCTCACTTGAAATGGATTCCTGTATGATGGCTACGCAATCATCAATGAAGTCCGACTGCAGCAAAAACAATCAGACATGAATGATGATCAGTTAAATCAAAACACAATGATTAAATAGCTGACCTTCAGAGATACAGTAATAGGGTTTAAGAAAAAGTTATTACATTGTTACTTATTACAAGGTTAATTCAACAGAAGGACGCACATCTCCGCTCTCGAACATAGCGCGTGTGTACAGTCATTTGATCTTTACTGTGGCATCGACAATCCGATACTAGTTGCGAGTACAGCCGTCAATTATTAGTCTATGCGTGCCATTCGTTTTATGGTGTTAGTTTTTATTTTATTAATTTTGGGTACTTCGCAATGTCTGTTACATCTGATTTTTTTTCTTTGACCGCGAGCTTGTTAAATGCTTCTATAAACTGCAATTTGATTTGAGAAAATTGACCAAGAAAATGAAAAGTTGTAGCAATATAAAATTTACGAATTTTATAAAATTTCATGTTCTTATGTAACATTAATCTGTCATTTTGACAATGTTGGCATAAGGTGCCGAAAACAAACATTTGAGTATATACAGAACATTTATTTATTTTTTTTGTGAAGTGAGTCTAATGAACGACAATTTACCACAATTTTGGTGAAATTAATGTTGAAATGAAGAATATAATTTCAGTCTATGTTAGTGCAAAATATCATTAGGCCTTTGTAATCACCGCACGACGCGTGATTATCATGGAAACTAACACGTGCGTGAGTAATTCGTCACGTACGCTGACGGTTTATAGCCTGGTTGCTATGGTTTTGTGACGTTCAGCGTGTAGGGACGCACGTGCGCCTAGAATGTCGATGCCAGATTTATAACCTTTGATATCCCGAGATGTGCTACCTTCTGTTGAATTGCCTTGCTTATAAGAACAAAAAGTTAGAGATGTGTTTTTCATGATTTGATTGATAACTATAGCATCTTAGGTGGTAGTATTTTGTTGCTTATTGATTTTTCGTATCAAATGTTAATCTTAATATTTATTCTTCAATTTTATATTAAAGTTAATCTTAAGTTTTACTTAAAATCAATGTGCATTCCATTATATGTACAAATGTGTTTATAAATGACAAATTCTTATGGGGTACATAAAAAAAGAAAACGTGGTTACTGTTGTTACTTACCACTGATAAATACTTCATGGAGTCCACTTTGTTCTTTACCATAATGAAATTTGCTGGTCGCTCTACCTTTTCTTTCACAGGTGTTGCAACAGAGTCCAAGGTCAATTCTTGCAGGCTTGCATCAGACTGGAGAATAAGGTTACTGATGTCATCTGGTAAGCCTTGTGTCAGATCAAGGATGGATACACCCGGAGGAATAATGCTGGTATTACTGTTCACAGATGGGACTAACTGTCCATTTGTACTGTTTGTGACAAGTGACACTGGGTGGTTAGTGACATTCGATGGTAGAGTTAGTAAAGTATTGTTAGCCGCTCCTGTTGCATTGGCAACATTAAATTGCAAAAAGTCAGCAAGAATCTGCAAACTGGCTGGAGATGTCAGTGCATTTCCTTCATCGGAATATGCAGATATGGTTGTGCAAGTACTTGGCGATATTGAACTAAGATCCAAGACTTGATTTTCTGAGGTGTCAACACCAGCAGAGACAACTGTACTGGCAGTATTCAATGAACCAAAACTAGAAGTGGTTACTTCCTTTCGAATATTAGTGTTTCCTAAAATATTGGCAGTCGACGTTTCAAGCAAATTAGTTGTCATTACTTTATTAGAGATTTTAGGAAGTGACAAAGTCAATGTTTTGGTAACGTCTCCCATTACTGCTGTCATAGTTGAAGTAGATGACGTTTGAGGTACAGGCAATCCTATATTAATTGAACAACCATCTACTGGTATGTTAGATTTTTTTGCTGAATCAATATCATCAGGACCAACATTCAAACGAGTAGATGTGTCCTTTTTAAGATTGATCCCCTCTCCATTATTGTCCACTTCCATGGAAGGCATCTCCATTGCAAGACCTTTTTCGCCACTATCCAATTTATCAGATGTTTTATTGTCATCAACTAACATTACATCAATTTCTTCCATCTCAGATCCTAAAGAATTAACACTTCCACTCTCCTTGGTGGTTAACAGCCCTGAAGGTTCACAGCTTCCAATGTCTTCTGAGGCTGGCAAAGTAGTAGGAGCAATGCCTCCACTTTCTTTGGGAAGTGACAAGTCTGTTGGATCAATGCTCTCGGATTCTCCAGAGACTAACAAAGCCATTGGATCACAACTTGCTAACTCCTTACAAACAGCCATTAATTCATTTTGCTGATTGTTTTCACTAGTAACAGCTAATTTACTATCATCCAAAAAATTTATTAAAACATTTGTGTTTCCCTTTGCAGATAAATCCTCTTGAATTTTTGTATTGTTCGTTGAATTAATTCCTGATTCTGTTAAATTTGAGTTTATACTGGTTTGTGGTAAGGTCCCAGAACCAGCTATAGACTCTTGTAGTAATTTATTTGAAACAGATGTTTCCCTATTACACTCATTCAACACATCCTGTGTGCCTTCTATGGCAACCTCTTGCACGCCATCCATAGCAACATCTGGAGTGTCACATGATGCTGGTGCTACCTGCATCATGGCTTGATTGTCTATAAGTCTGCCAGTGATTTCACACAAGGAGTAACAACTATAATCTATAACACTTGAAGTTGGTGGCGTTGACTTGTGTCCTTCTGTATTGGCTAATCTGGGAGATGTCCGCGTTGGAGTAGAACTGCTGCCTTCTTGATGTAACCTTGGTGACGTCCTTGTTGGTATTTCTTGTCGTTGAACATCTAACACACCAGATGACCGACTGGAATCTTTTTTAGATTTATTCTTCATATTTGGAAAATAAAGTTTTTCAACACCATGAATAGCATTATTGCCACACAATTATACTAAAATATTATCAAATTTTCCTCTAGAACTGCCTTGAAATAAATAATTAAAACTCATTTTTCCACTAATAACATTGGCATGGGCTGGAAGTGTGGGGAATGGCAGTAAATTATTTCCACTAAATGTGTTAAAATACTAAATATGACCAAATTACATTTTCATTGGAAAAGGGATTTACTTTCAAATTCCACATTCTAATTCCCAACCACCATGCAACCCCCCCCCCCCCCAAAAAAAAGAAAACGAAACAATATTACTATGAAAGTTGGAAGCCATTTAAACATCACATCTTAAATGCACATTCATAAGTTTTTTTTTTTTTTTTAATTATATAACTTACTTTCTTTGGTTTAATAAGATGACTTGCACTTTTACAATTTAATAATGATGTGATAACATTCTTGAATCCTGCTTGCATCTCCTCCATTATTTCTGTCATCCATTTTGCCGGCCTGACTGGATCACAGCGAGGACAAAGATACACAACATTCTCTGGCAGGTCTGCCATTATATTATATAAATCATCTAAAAAATGATAAAGGTAGTCCCATATTTATTACTGAATGTAGGGAATGAGCTATTAGCCCATTGTACGGTAGGGTGGCCAGTTCCCATCCATGCCGCCTTTTTCCTCCCCAATAGTGAACCACTGGGTACCCATTTAACTCCTAAGTGGAGAAACAAATGTAGGTAAAGTGCCTTGTCCAAGAACGCAAGCAAAATGCACAGGTTGGGAGATCGAAACGCAACTGGTGCGCCAACCGCTCCAACATAAATCTTCTAAAATTCAGAAAAATATAATTTAAATTTTATCTGATTTAAAACAATTAAATAGTTTACAAATCATACGGAGACATGTTGTAATACCTTCTGGTCAACCAGTTGAATAGTAAACTATATTTAAATATTGGACCAACAGTATGGTGATTATGAGTTACAAATGACTTGTATAAGTGTTGTACTACAAAATTCTAGCCATACTCTGGGCAGGGAATGGAGGAGGGTATATATAACCTCCTCCACATGACCAAAAGTAATCATGAAATTCTTTAGCAGTGGTTGGAAGTACTTTATAAGAACTATATTTATTTTAAAGTATTATTATAATTATAATTGTTATCATGCTTAAAAGCAATTGGCAATATCATTCTAACATGACCTCTGACCTGTTAATCCTTCGCACTTTGCATGAATCCATGTGTCACATGACCCACATTGCATCATCTTTGATTCGTAATCATCATCTTCATAGCAACGATTGCAAATGGGACAATAGTTGCCTACAAGAAAAACATGATTACATTATTATTATGAATTGCTTTACACAAAGTATTAATTGATGAAAACCTCTATATGCGGCAATGACAAGGCAAACCAGTCACTGGTCACAAATATCGATTTTTAGTTATTAATACAGTGTTAAGCAGTAAAATGATAGTTATAAAATGGTCTAAGAATCATTTAAATCAGACATTTCCTTATAAAGTTACAAGTGTTCAACATACAGCTGCTTAAAGGAGAGTATTTGCGATATCCACCTTCAAAGTTTACGATTTCGGGCATTTCTCAGGCAGAAACCATCACAACATCATTAAAAAAGGATGTTTCAACATTGAAAAACAGGGATAATAACTGCATAGCCTGATGTATAAATATATAAAGGTTAGTTCATTGCAATAAAATAGATTTTAAAAATTTGACATTCCAGCATGTTTTGGAACACCATTTGCAACGAGTGACTGGTTTGGATATTCTTTGGCACATGTGATATTCATCCATATAAAATAATCATCTTTTTCTTACTATGTACTGTAACCCTTACAATTTGTACGCAGCCTCACAGAAATGGGCACAGTATGCCGCACTCCCACGATCAAACAGTGAAATGTTTCCCGTACCAATCCCAAATCCCGACAATTCAAGATTTGTGCATGTTTTTACTACTGTAATATTGTCATTCTGAAGTCAGCTGGTTAAGGGTATAGCCCTGTGCAGTAAAATACAATTAGACTTGTTAAGATAGCACGTAATGACAACTTACCACGATCAAACAACTTCCCACAATCTTGACATAATGAGAAGTCGTAGCACCAGGTAGCATTGCCTGGACCGGGTGTTGTAGCACCACAACTTTTACACTTCACACATTTTGTGCAAATCTGCATATAAATAAAAAAGTAAACTTTTAGTTCCATAACTCTTTTTTACTTTTAAAACACTACATCGGTATGTTGCACAGAAATTACAGGTAAGATTGGCTTTAATGGGTGTAAACCATGTTAGTCACATGTATATAAATTGATGATTTTTTTTTCTAAATTGCCAATTAATTTGGAGGTTCACATCATTGCTGATAATAGTGACTTTTGTTGCTGTTGAATCTTCCTAGGAACTACTCTATTTCTTTTGTAAATGTATTCTATGTTTTTTTTGTAATTGTTTTCTTGAATAAATAAATAAACAAACACCAGAGATAACCCACAAAAGTCTGAAGAAAAAGTCTGAGAAATACACTATCTATTTTGATGATGTGAATAACTTACCCAAATCTTCCTTTTCTTTGAGGGTTTGGTTGGATAGTTAGGACCCAGGCATTCAGCATGATAGGTGTTCTTACACTTGTTGCATTGCAATAACTATCAATGAAAATAAAATATGCAGTTAAACTTCAATCCAAAATGCCATTGAAATATTGTTCGACTTAGATAAAATTTGACGTACAGATTGTTAAATAACGGAAAACAAATCAATTTTGCATGTAAAATTAGATCGACTTAGAAATTATTCAACAGGCAAAGTCGACAAATTTAACTGTATTTACAATTCAGGATTAAAAGCTGTTAGCCAGGCAAAAGTATTTTCTTATACTTTTATTTTATTATAGGTAGAAGGTAGAAAATAAGAGTCTAACTAAACAGAATATTTAGTTTTATTATCAAACCAATTTGTTATCAATTAATGCAATTTCTGGATCTTATGATATACGTACATTATTCTGGCAGCCACAGACATGGCAGAACTTGCAGTTTCGACAGCACCAGTTCTCTACCTCTCCATCAAGCGGCTGGTCTTCTTCATCCAGACAAAATTCATGGAATGGCTCGCAGCAGATATTGCAATAAAGAAACTGAATTGCACAAAGAAAATAAGAAAATAAAAGAAAGAAATATTACTGGCAAGTTCATGCTGCTATTAGTTTTTCAACATTGTAACAGGTTTGCCTATTGAGCTATATGTTGTTCTCATACTAGCAGTGGCATATCAAGGCAAGTTTTCAGGGGGTGCACCTCAACCCCTATATTAAAATGTTGAAAGCAAAAAAATCATGCTAAATTAGATAAAAATCACCTCATATCACTATATTTTACAAGCTTGCGCCCCCTCACTTAATCATCGAGGCCCCCTTTAGCTTTGCGCCCCCATCAGCTCCCAATTTCAAAACTCCTAGACACGTCACTGCATACTAGAATAAGACTGTTTTTGTCTGTATACGTACATCATGTTGGCCCTTGCTTCCACACAGATAGCAAACGGTACGGGGAACCATTGGCTCTGATGATAAGATGGCTACCCCATCATGCCATGCATTCAATACATTACAGTCAGTCTGTGGAGAAAAAACGAATAGTGTTGATGATAAAATATTATTATTGTAAATATATTTTTAAATACAATGTTCCTTCACTTGCGCTCCTGCCTGCTTTTGGAAGCAGCTTCCAAATTATATAATTTTTACTCCGATTTGGCACAGCTTCGACTCAATTGTTTTTCTCGTTTAAATTCACATGAGTTGGTCCTTTGATCTATTTTTGGCGACATATGTTTTGGGATATTACAATTATATTGTAACAGAATAACCAGTAAATTGAACACCAGGTTTTCCACAAACCTCTATATAACATCTTTCTATATTTTTGTTGAATGAGGGCTTACAGTATTCATGGATCTCATAGTACAGTGCACACACTACCATTAACTGTTGGACAAGTGGTACCAGGTTATAGCCACTAAATGGCATGAAACAAGTTGGTACCATGTAGTTGGACATGTAGTACCATGTACTTAGAAATGTGGTACCATGCACTTAGACATGTGGTACCATGTAGTTGGACAAAGTGGTAGAATGTAGTTGCATATTATACAGCACAACACTAATGGCACAGGAAAAGAAGATGGACATGTGGTACCTTGTAGTTAAGCATTATACGATGCATCGCATGGTGTACTTGCTGCAACTGACTCTTCACTACCACCTGTGTGTTCAAACTATTCTCAATCTTCTGTTGACGGGACGACAACTAAGAAAAACAACGTAAACGTACATATATTTGTGAGTTTTGATTCAGTTTCTATGTATTATTAGGAAAAAATACAGATGTGCATATTTTTGACCCAGAATAGATTTTTCGGAAGTGTTCATCAAACTTAAATTAACCAATGAAAACAGGACAAAAAATAAGAGCATGTCCCTCAAATGCACATGTAGCCCCACAAACGTACATGTCTACTTATGTTGATACTTTCATTTATGGGACCTTAGCAAACCATATCCAAACGCATAATTATAAGTCAACCGTAACATCATTATTTTACCGTCAACATAATTTTACTATTAATTTATGGCACACAGACAAACAAGACATTTACAATACGACTCACCATTTCTCGCAGGCTTTTCTTTATGATTTTATTTGCAACAAAAGCTTTGCTCTTCTTTCCTGTCTGATTGTTGTTTTCAGGTTTATCGAAATCCACCAGTTTCTGGATTGCAGGTACTGAGGAGAAACAATTCAACATATTACACAAATCACTACAAAAAATCACAAGGCAGAACAAATTTTTTTCCCAAGCAGGAATATCCATGACAATAATTACAACAGATCAGCACCTGTGTGGTGTGGCTGTCAACGTCATGGCATAGATATGACATCCAACTACATTGTGCTTTTCCAGTGCAACACTCGCTACTAGATCTCGCTTTGCCACATACACTAATTAAACAATGAAAGAAAAAAAATGAAGATAGTCATGTGATAAATAGTTGGAAATATTGTGATACTTCCAGCCTACTTACCTTTAGGTCTCGTTATACTGGTCTTTAATGACCACTGTGGGTTCGAGCATTTTTTATATCTAAAGGGAAAACGGCAAAATATTAATACAATATCTTTCTGCAATTTACTTCAGTTTATTTAGAGTAACAAGAACAATATATGACAGAGAATAAATTAATTATTTATGTTCTTTATTAACTTTTTGTTTTAAGTGTTTAAAGGCAAAGATAAAAGGAAAGAAAGGGAATAATATTTGGACATTATATTTTTGTGACTTGCAGCTTTAACTTGACAGACGCTCACAGACGTGGACTAACTCATTCAATAACACTTTTTCACATCTAGAGGTCAAATCACGTCTAGTCAGCCGCAACAGTGTTGCAAAATTCTTTTTAAACATTTGTATGTACCTTAACAAGAATTTTATTTTGCATTATCATCAGTTACTTACTTGCAACATTGCTTCCTTACATTACGCCCACCATACTTTGTTTTGTCCCTTAAAAAAAGATCACATGAAACTATTAGATGATATAAAATTAAAAAACAGAAAGTTGGTAGTGGGCAGCTACAGCAAGTACTGTATAGTTAACTAAATAATTTTTTCAGTCATAATCAGTTTATTACTATTAACAACAAATACTTACAAGCAATTTCCGCATTGTTCGCAATCATCGACCTGCTTACAGCCCGGACATACCTTGCAGCGTATTTTGCGATTACGCCCAGTCTTTGAGCCCGGTCTAGTTCTCACCAAAAGAGGTGAAGAGGTCGTTGAGGAGATGGAGGGACTTGAAGTATCGCCTCTGTCTACTGACGTGTCAGAATCTACATAAATTTAATAAATGAAAATTTTAATTGAAATTAGATGAAAGTGTGAGTGAAAGACCCCATTATTATTTTTAAAACAATCTTTAAGCTCATTATTTTTAAAGCTTGGTTATATTATCCTTACTTTCTTTGTAATTATCTTTATATCATAAATACAATTTAAAAAATCATGTTTAAATGTTGATGTGGAATAATATTACAGAAATAAAGTTACATTTTAATTTATATTGTTTGTAAAATTGTTAAGACATATGCTACATATTAAAAAAAAACAAACAATGGAAGTGTTTTTTGAAGAGTAAACGGAGAGCAGTCTAACACTGCACAATGTACAGTACAATTACCTAATCATTAAAAACAATCGCGCATCATGGCATCAATAGAAACGTGTCAGCTGACAAGTTTTTACTACATAATCACGATTTTTTAACGTAGTTGCTACAGTATGTGCAGCTGTAGCAGAACACTGTGTGTGCAGTCATGCATAACATATGCCTCCCAAAAAAACACAGCCATTCTATGCAGCTGCAAATACAGATATGCCTCAATAATGAATCACTGTTACAAATTGAGAAGATATTAAATCCAACACCATTCTATTAAGTTTTTTTTAAAAGTTTTTAGAACTTCTTCTGGTTTTTTTATGGGAGCATGACACACAACATTTTATGCCGGATTTGTTTACGAATAAATGCAATTACTTACAACTGCTGTATTAATATACAAATCATGCAAACACTGAAAAAGGTACATGCACAAAATGCACACATTTAGCATATATACAGTAATACATCAAAGATTAATAACTACAAATTCAGCAACCTACCATGGTAGTAATATATCAACTACCAACTTCTCTATAATCCTTGATGAAAATAAATTCAACAAACAAAAAATATACAAATTTCCATACCAAGTACGACCATTGCTTGGTCTCTCTCGTCCAGAGGTAAGGCACTCAGCGAGGGCTCTTCAAGCTCTTGAAAAATAGCGGTGGGGCATCCTAAGGCTACAGACGCACGACGGCAAACATGCTTGATACGGGGGCCACGACCTAGTAACCGAACTGACTTGGGCTTAGGTACTGCTTCAACTTTTTTCTCTTTCTAGGGATTGTACATTAAAAATTTTATTTGAAATCATAAAAAAAAAGATATTTGTAGGTTTGACAAGAATTTTCATAATATTTAATATTAAATTCAAAGATTTATTAAACTCCAAAGCATTGTAATTTTCATCTTAAAATGTTTCATTGTTGATTATATAAAAAGTACATGTCTATTTATTGAAAACTCAAATTTTTTTAAAGAATTGCTATACTGTACTTCTTATGAATTGATATGCAATGTGCTTAACCTGAATAAATGTCAGTGATTTTGTGAGCATGTATTTTAAAATAATGTATTTTACAATTATTACAGAATTATTTATTGCACTAATCCAAGTAAGATGTTACAGATTATCACTGTGACCAAAGTGCAGTCAAATTTTAAAATCTGAAACTGAAGATGATACCAAAATGTCTCATGAACAATATTATTTTCAGAGGCGAGTTGAAACTACAGGTACTGGAGTTAATGTTAGGTGATTCTATTGATGGAACAAATTTATTTTTTGATCAATTCTAACCTTTTGGGCTTGGTTCTTGGCGATTCTTTCAGGTGACCTGTCTGCTTCTATGGCCTCAGCCATCTGCCGAGAGACTAATTAACAGCAAACAATTAAAAGTCTTATAATTAAACGTCTTAATATCTAAGCTATGACTATAAATAAGTACATCTTTATCTTATCTTTATGTTGTTATATTAAAAAAGGTTTTATTTTAGAACAAACTGCCATTACTGAGATCTCTCAGATACTACAGAAAGTTTGATTTGTATGAAAAAAAAAAAAATTCTTTTCAATATCATACATAAATATTATAAATGCAAAAGGTTACCAAAAATATTCACTGCACCAGTCAGAATATTGGTAACAGTAATTAACTAAAGTATCATCCTTATTAATTCCGGACACCCAAGGGAATCCAAATATTAAAGACTTTTCACGCGACATTAATTGTCCAATTTAAAGTAAACAAACATGCAATGAAATACCATAAGACATATAATGTATACAAGTACTGTACAAACATATCATGCTTAATGGTTGCAGTCCCGTGTACAGTACACAAACTAATACCAGCTCCAAAATATAATAATTGTTTTTAGAGTAGATAATATTTGGGAAAATAAATTTTCATATAAACTACATGCAAACAATAAATAATTAGTAATATGGGGATTCATTTAAGTTTTAATCAAAATTATTCAGAAATTACAGTAGAATCTTCATTCAATGAAAGATAAATTTGATGATTTATTAATATTAGATACAGTAGTTGATTGTTTGAATACTGTAAGTTATTACTTACAAAGTTGAAGGTTGTATTGCTTATTTTGTTCAGAGTGAGGCTGTCAGAAACATTGTTTAGAAAGGGCAGATGAACTCCTCCGAGTCAAGTGTCAACCATGCTTCAGCTTAAGGAGTAAGTTTAGTTTTATAGGGCTACAGTACAGTACATAATTTTTTTTCTCATCAAAATATCAAATTTAAACAGCACAATCACCAAGCACATTTTGGCTTCCTTTTGCATGATGTGATGTACGAATCCAACAACTGTATTATTACAACAGTAATACTTGTAAACAATCTTTATGAAACACTTAATGATGCAAACTTACTGTACCTACTACCATTAAACATTACTGACGATACATTTTTCTTTTCATACTGTATGTGATGTAAAGAACATCAATTACACAAGGGGTGCATGAACAAAATACAACAGATACAGTACTCCACATGCAATAACAAGTCTGTAAAGCAACCAGATATTTATAAGAGAAACACTCACCAGCATCTGGCCATGTCCCAAGTGTTGCGGGTGTCGAAGTCTTCGCCTCCATGGGACTCTTCTTCTGAAGCTTTGAACTCTGGTTGCGAACTCGCTCTGCTTTTGCGGCCGATTCCTTTGACTTCAAAATTAAGCGTCGTCGGGCCATGGCTTTAGCCTTCTCCAATAGTTTCTTGGGTATATCTTTACTTTTTGTTTCACTTCGATGAGACATCTTAAAAGGGCCAGTAGTTTCGACATCGCTCCATTCATCACTGTAAACAAAATTTCCATCTTTGAAACGCTCCGGCTTTTGTAATGTCCTTGGACTTTTTTGGGGCAATGTCTTCCTTTTCTTTTTTTTACTTTTTCGTTTCTTTTTTATCGTCTCATTTTCATCTCTGATATTTAAATCAAACTTCTTTGCAACATAGCGTTTATGATGGCACTTTTTCTTCTTCTTTTTCTTCTTCTTCTTTTTACTCACTGTGCTTTTCAAGTCTGTCAACGGAACTTCATCGCTGAAGATACCTTGTAACTCTAAAAGTTCTTCATTTGAGAAATCTGCCAGCATTGTCAGATGCTGACATAGTACTTCATCTTTCAATATCACATCAGTAGTGTCTGTTTCAGTTGTTCTTTCTATATCACGTAAAATGTTTTCATCTGAACTAATTGAGTCCTCTACCGAGATTTCAATGGCATCTTCTGCCGCTTTAATTTTCGTTTCCATGACAACAGTGTCCTTCGACAATTCATCTTTGGTTTCAAGCTCATTTTCCTCAAATTCTTTTGTTGATACTATTGCACTTTTCTCATCCTTATCTATAGATTCTTTTATTTGAAAACTTTCTGTGACTACATTATCCGGTTCCTTTAACTCTTTCAGTCTCTTTTTGACTGGCTTTGAAATGCTTGCCTTCCTAGCTCTTAGATTTAATGTTTTTTTCTTCTGAGTATGCTGTTTTTTAGACTTCCCTGTTAGCTTTAGCTTTTTCTTTTGGGAAAGGTTATTTGAGATTACTTTAGTTATTGGTGTTTTCTTTTTCGTAACAGCATTCACTTTTACAGCAGGTTTTGCTTTAATTTTTACTGGTATTTTCACTGGTCGGTCTTTGTTCTCCTTACCTGAACTGTCTTTCGGAGCAACACTTTCCCGCTTGATAGACTTTATGCCATGTTCCTGATTTTCGGGAAAGTTAGCGGAACTATAAAGCAAACTTCCATCAAGAAAACGCTTAGAGGGTTTAATTTTTCGTGAAGATCTTGCACTTATTTGAGGAAGAGAAAATTTCTTTGGGTTTTTATATGCGACTTTTGACAATTCCAACTTTAAAGATGGCAGCTTTTTTGCAACACCTTTTCTTCTGACATACTTCCTCCGTGTGGGGATTTCTTTCACCTTGGATAGTTCTTTCTTTTTGGGAATTACTTTTTGCTTAACCCTGCTGTTCTCCTTTCGCTTTAAAAAATTAAAATCCTGACCAGATACCATTCCATCATACTGTTGAGTCCTTTTAATTTGTCTCTTTCGAAACAAAATTGGAATATTGTCATCTTTAGCCAGAGCAAGAGTTCCAAATATGTTCTTACTGGGTCTTCCTCTCCTTGCTTTCTTGAGGAGCTGCTTTGCAATAGTCTGTTCCGACTTCCTGACTTGTACTGCAACTTTAAGCTGTGGTGCAGCAACATTTTTAGGAATAAATGGTTTCTTATATTGACGTTTTCGTTCAAAAAGTTCCAAGGAAACATACTCATTTTCAGAAGGTGTAACATATCGAATTACAGATTTCCGATTTTTCAAACGAATAATCCTTGCAATTTTCCCTTTTCCTGGCTGCCCAGATCCTATTGATATTAACGGATCTTCCTCATCATCAGTTTCTTTGACTTCACTGCTTAATTCAACATCTGTGCTATTTTCTAATAGTAATGAGTGCTTAGCAGAACTTAATGAGTCTGAGGTACTGTGTGAACCTCTTAAACGCTTCAATTTCAGAACAGGACGTCTCGCAAATCGTTCAGGCGAGTCATATTTTACTTCATTCACTGCTTTTTCAACCTCACTTTCTATTTCATATTGTTTTAACTTGCAAAAAGCACCTTTACCATATTTCAGTAGATCTCTGTAAGACTTTCTAGGCGTTCGCTTAAGGCGCCCTCTAGAAGGTATTCTAGAAGGTTTCTCTGGTGATGAGTCTATATCAGAATGGAAAGTTGCTCTTACATCTTCATCCAAAAATCCTTCAAATTCCTCATCCTGAAATAAAGAAAACCATTTATACTATATTTATTTTAACTACCTTGTTGTTGGGGCAGAAGGGGTGTGTGTTTAATCAGCAGCTGAAACATTTCTGGCTCTAAATGCTGAGTTTGAGATTGGAATCCAAAACTGTCTACAGGTATTTCCCCTTGTTTCCTTGAGCAAGACACTTTATGTAATGTCCACCTAGGAATATATAGTATGGTTAACACCAATGAACGTGTTATCTGATCAGCACAAACTATATTCTTAAAAGCCAATATTAGTTTAAAATTCAGCCTAAATATACACAAGAGATGGAGATGATGCAGAGTTACTTCTTGGAACACAATATGAGAGCTCTTAATCTCTTCTTTAGGGCAATACTAAAGAATAGAACAAGGTCTCCAAAAAACTATTGATTAATTTATATGGGACCTTATAAGGGACCTAGCATCTTCTCACAAGCCTACAGTACATATATATTCAATTTGAAACAATACATCATAATTTAGAATAAAGTACAACAAATATTGCATTATTAAAAATATATATATATATATATTATTATTATGTTGCAATGAGAATCATATTTGCATATATTCAGCTTCAGCCGGGAATACTTTTTTCCAATTGACATCATTATCGATCACTTTTGATAAATCGACGTTCAACTATGGTAATATCAGTCAAAAAGACAGGAAAATACCTCAAAAGTTCAAATAAAATTTTGAACAGCTCATTTGAAAGGATTAAATAAATTATTAGCTTCCAATGAGAAGCAGATCAAAATAAGTAGGCCCAGTTTTCGCCAATTTTAAAAGATATCACTACAAAAATCCATAAATTTTACCAGCAAATTTAAAGATACTATGCAAAAGAATATAGGAAATTTATTAATAAACTCTTTGAAAATTGACAGAGGATTTTTTTTCATAAAAATTTTTAATTAATAACTTACTTATAATATACGCAAATTAAGCAATATATCCAAATTTAGAATTAAAATTAGAATCAAATTCTGTGGTAATCGGGTGTAAAGATTGTAGCACCCAATCGCAAAGGGTAACAATCGCAATATCAATAACTACTGTACTGAATGGTGAGCTTTCACACACGATTCTGAATTGGGTGCAATTGTGTGTCGCAATTGCTACAACCAATTGGAATGCAATGCTAGTCTGCACTTAAGTAATAGCCTACTAGATTACATCACTTACTTAGCCTAGGCTCCTTGCCCGTAAACATTTATTTCTACTTCAGCAAATGACAGATTGGTGTGCTAGGATAAGATGTTCTGCAGAAATATAATGGACTGCTGCACTGCTATCGATACACTACTAACTATACTACTTACTAGGTGGTTTGTCCTTGTTTGTTAGCAAGGCCCCAGATTCATCATTTCACTGCTTGACAACAACTCAAGAGAAGTGAAAGGTCTGGCCATATTTTATCTACAAGGGTCTGTGACTGTAGGCCTAGCCTAGGCATAAATTTGTGGCTCAAAATTCAACACAAGTCTAAAAAAGCCTAGGCCTAGCCTAATTAAGCTAGGCCTAGGCCTAGTAATAATAATTATATTTTAGTAAAGAAAGCATCCTTCATAAAATTTAACCTTGTAAGTTGAATAAAGGCAATGAAGGATTCCTGAAATATGTCAATATTTTGATAATTATATTAAATAGCAGATGTTAATTAATCTCATCACAGAATGCAACAAAAACGTAGACCCTTCTCTCTCTCCCTGTGCAGCCTATATACATGATGGACTTCAATGAGCTTATGTTTGTGATGAGAAAAAATACATCGTCATCAATTACCTCATCTGACTCTCCAACTAACTCGTAAAATTGCTTTAAATTTCTATGGATGGTAGCTGTGACATTGAAGAATGTTCTGTGACAATTTTGAGCTTCTTCAGGCAATAGTCTAACTAGATTACGACCAAATCTCTGCCCAGGTCTACCGGGAAAGCGTAAACGCGCCATCTTGTAGTCTTCATAGAGGGCCCTGCAACAAGCTTTACAACATTGACCTTTTTTGACCTCAACAAAGACGCTCTGATCCTTTTTGCGCGCTCTGTGTTCACTGATCCACAACGAGGCGCGCCGCTGTGTCGACGAGGGGATCGATTCTTTGATAATTTTCGTATATTATTAGGCCTTAAGTATGCCATAAGATTTTTCTTTTTTACAAGTATTGTACACAAAGTAGAAAGTCCTACAATAAATAAATAAATGGCAATACAGTATATGGTGGTAATATAAATATAGAGGTTTGCGGGTGGTGATGCAGGCGCCCAGCAACAATGTACTGTAGTACAATAGGCATGTCATGTACGATATCGCGAGAAGGCCTCCTACTACTGGGTGATCTCTTCCAGTTATGACTCATGAGGCATATACATGTAGGCCAATATATGATGTGCACGTTATTTTATTGTACCTATATTGGCAACTATTAGCAAATAGAGTAGAAATACGGCACCGTATCTCTAGCCACACCGTTATTTTTATTGTGATATTTGACGCCCGCTGTGTATAACCACAAAAAAATAAACGATTATTATACAAGTAGTTGACATTACGTCGCCCTCTCGGGGAAATCCCCTTTGTCGGCTTTGCTAAAAGTCAACAAGCAAGGTAACGTCTCAAGGGTTAACGTAATTGCAACGTACTAAGATCAGACCGTACACCGTCGTTAAAATCGCGAACGTTGTGGTAGATTTAGGTACTTAGTTGCAACAAAGTTTTTGCAACGTTTGAATAGCATACCATGAGCAAACTGCCTCTCTAATAATAACGCACAAGATTTCCTGAAGCACAGGATTTCCCAGACGGCAGGGCAACGCCACAACACTGGCAGTTAGAGCGTACGTGAGCGCCATCCGAGAGCCGTATCCTCGAGCCCGGGGTTGGGGACATGCATGCCAACATTTCAATAATAAAAATCAGGAGAAAAAAATAAGCTTGATGTGTTTCTTCATAGATTGTTAGTATTTTGCTACGCGCCGAACTCTGAGGCGGGAATCAGCCGGGGGTTGGGAGAGGGGTGTCACTCACTAGGTGGGGTCTTGGGATCAGAAGCTAGCTCCGGGATTCTTTGTTTAGAGAGCAAAAAGGATCGATTTGGATATGTAACTAATTAATTGAATTTGTAAAATCTAAGTTAGGCCCTAGCTATATTCGACTATAAATTCAGGAGAAGCTGGGGAAATTGGGAGAACGGTTTTCAATCAGGAGACAAGCCTCAAAATCAGGAGTCTCCTGGTCAAATCAGGAGTGTTGGCATGTACGGTATGTGGGTTTAATGTTAAAAATAATAAGCAGACGCGCTTATCTTGACCTAAGGATGGTGCTGCGTCCAAACGACTAATATCCAATTCAAGCCAGCATTTGATATACCGTAGGCCTAAACTTTTTAAAATGTGTTTTTTTTTTATCCTCGCCCCAACGAATCTCTATTAACGATCCAGGGCTGGAAAAAGTTCACGACCGGTGGTCGGCGGCATTCTGGAAAAAGAAGTACAAACAAACTAGGCATTTTATCAAGACCACTTTCATGGGCGGAGGCACAAAAATTTGTTTTCCAGGACTGCTATTGCTAACATCCCTGAAGGGGGGGGGGGGAACGGGAGACGGGGGAAAGGCCTCCCTGAAGGGCTAATTAATGAGAGTCAATTAACGCACATGGCGTTATTAGGGTTTTCGAACAGACCAAAAACAATATTACCGTGTGGTGTTGTATTTGCGTTTAATTTCAATATGATCATTTCCTTATGCAGCATACAGGTTACTATGATTTCATCCATTTAAGGCCTAGCACCGGCAAACAGGCATATAGGCCATGTGTACACAACGGCGTGAACCGGGTAGGCACGTTCCTGGAACGAGTGGGGCTGTGCTAAAAGAGGTACAAGTACTACGTATACATAATTATGTCTACATACTTGTTTGCTAAATTGGCCAGCATTAGTGTGGTAACTGTTAAGTTTGATAAAAATTGTGGAGTCGGTCAGTCAAGCACATTTGATTAGTTTTATCAACTCATGTGTGGACTACCGGTCTATCAAAATATGAAGTGATTCCCTGTCAATGACACAGAGTACAGGGCTCTACAAGGACCAATGAGAATTGATTATTCCCAGCGCCTATTTCTCTCAATTTACTTTATAGCGCCCTCATGCAAAATTTTCCGAATAATACTACAGACATCATCCAGTCCAGTCTTGTCATTTCTCTTTCACCCTCAACTTTTTAAATTGAAAAATACACACTCACAGTCAGTAGGCTTAGGCCTACGGACAGACTTTATCTAAATTATTTTTTTTAACTTTTCAAGCATATTTTTTTTTTTAATTTTGTCTATAAATCCATACCATACAGTAAGTGTATACATTTAATGGATACTCACAAATGTTATTTTAAATGTTTTCCTCCTTCAAATAATTAACTTATTTTTGTTTAACTGATATTTTTTCATGTTGTATTGTTTGTAGCGTAGTTATAAACTGAACACATCGCATTTGTTAGTGCTGCCGATATACAAAGCCATATGTAGGCCCTACGTCCAAACGAATAAATAAATAAATACTCAGCATGAGATCCGAGTGGCGTAACATACTAGGGCGGCGGGGGACCCTAGTTTTCTGAGACTGGGGGCCCCTTTCATTGTGGGGTTTAGATTTGCTTTAAAATAATGTTTGTCATTTTATATATAGGCCTAATATATATGTTTCTAACGACGAAAAAATGATATGATAGTGACGGGTCTAGTAGGAATAGAGC